GCCTGTATTTGTGTGCTATTCGTATTTTTCCTTTTCTTTTTTGCTGATGCGGCATCGAATTAAATTAGAATTATACGTTGTAGTTTCTCTAAATTACGTTTTTACGAATAAATTAGAAAACCAAGAATCACAGGCAATTTGATATGTAGATCAAAAAGGTTTTGGTATGATCTGTGGTTTTATATTTGATGTCTTCAAGAAGTGAATCTTAGAGTTGAATTCCAGATATCAAAATTGTGAGTCGCCTTATCTGATATGATCAATGTAAAAAGTTTTAATATATTTTTGTCTGGTGATTAGTGTCCTTTAAAAAGTGATCTGATGTTGAAACTTAAGTCATTATGTGTTCCAGTCTTTGTGTAGAGTGATTTTTGTATAATTACAATGGTTGTATAGCTGTATATAAAATTAAAGTCAAAGTAATCCAGTCCAGTATCTTCATTCCATACTAGTTACTTTTATAATTGTGTGAAGATAGTATTTTTAGCAACTGGTCTTTTGATACTTCTTTGTTGTGCTTTTACACCATTTGTTCATCATTAAAGAAGATTCAACATTCAATTACAGGCTTCGACATACCTGCAATAAAACAATAAAATATTCATTATCTTAAAGGAAAAATCAGAAACGCGTGCCTACAATCAATACGTTTCTATAAGAGAAAAGTCAGAATCATTCGGATAAAAAGAAATTTCTATAAACATATTTAAATCTCTGCTTTAAATAATTGGTTGCAAATAAATCAATACACTTCTCTTTCATACAAAGTTCATATGTATATGTTTATGCAGTAGCGTAGTCAGTCTGACTTTACTCTCGCTATGCAAATATTTTTTGCATTTAATAAATACGACGAGTTGTTTTAAAATAAATGTGTTTCAACATCTTATGATTGCATCTTCAGTATAATAAGAATATTATGTATATGCATGATAATTTTATATAAGAGTAATATGATGCAGTGATACAATTATCAGTAGATTATAAATATTAAAATAAAATACTGGTTGGAACTAATTTATGAGTGTAATTACAGGCGGAATATAGTGTTAAAACGAAAAACGTGAACGTTGAGATTACGATTAGTTTTTATTTTTGTGAAATGTTTCTTTTAAAAAACCCCGTCGTATTTATTAAATGCGTAATATCAATAGTGTTTTTACGCAGTTGCGGCAAATATTTTTGTGTTTACTGACCTTAAGAACAATAGATTTCTAAAGAATGTCTTTATGAGTAAATGAATTGTTACATTTATTTATTTTTGGCTTCTTAGGATATTAAAAAAGGTCGTATGGTCCGTGATTCATGAAATATCGTGGCCGGTTCATGATGTTTCTAAAGATGTTCACAGTATGGTGGAAATTTTATCTAAAGTTGAACATTCACAAAGAGCTGCTGATGTAAATAGACCTGTCATTGTTATATGCAGGTTAAACACGTGTGACTCAAATATTAGCAAGTGATTAACCTCGTCGCTCTCGTGGTTATAATTTGGCGGTTTAAGGTCTAAGTGAAGATCTCTACAAGAATTTTGCAACAAACACAAAAATATTTATTTTCTTAATCCAGTGACGGAGCAGGTCACTGTGGTACCTATATTGCTATCTCAAATCTTGTGGACCGAGTCAAAACTGTCCAAGCGATTAATGCGTTCCAATGCATCAAGCTGATCCAGAATAGACGCCACAGTTCGTTGAAACAGCGGTAAGCTTGTCTTTATTATTCTCTTGAAGCCCCAATTGCATCAACACCCAGCGCTATTTTCATTAATGGACTATGCAGCCACTACAAAATAGACCATAAAAAATTTTTTATTATTGAATTCATGTTTGAAAGGGGATGTTGATGTTTGCTAACACTATGACACATTTATGATTAGGGTTGGGTGATATTTAGATAAATCGATTAATCGAAGTTATTGTCATGCTTGATGACTATCATGATATTGCTTTCCCTGTATGTACATTTAGCTTTATAGAATCAAAATGATTCTTTTTATTTCCGGAAAACGTAGCTCAAACATAAATTTACCAAATTAATACGATATAGTAAAGTACAAAAGCTAGACTAAATCACTGATATTTATGTATTGATGCGCTAAACAATGAAATTGCATGCTTTGCTTGCGCTGTGTGCCCGCTGCATTTGTGTCATCCGGTAACTGTTATTGAATATTGAGTAACTATCATAAAACTTTAGTTACTTTGTTGATTATGTTTAGTTCATTTTATTGATCAAAATTTAAAAATAATGTGGTGCATTTTGTTATCGTATTTATCGCGATATTATCGAATATCGTAATAATTTCCTAAAAAATAATCATGAGCTGAGATTTTTGATAATCGTCCAACGCTATTTATGATCATCGTATGTTGTATGGAAGTTACCGAATTTCTACTTTAAATATCGTGCTTGTATTCGAACTTTGCTCTCAGTAACGTATAATACCCTCATATTTGGTTGTGCTTTGTAAATCATCTGCATTGTTTCTTTAGAAATCTGTTGTTTTAATACAGTTAGTAAAGATTATTTACATAGCAAGACAAATTTGCAGGCTTTCTATGTTAATTGGTGCACGGTTGTTTTCGTTGCAGGGCTTGACATTTGGTTACCTGCAAGGAAAATTTTCCCAAATGCTTCGAAAATCTGGTCTGTAAGGACGTGTGGCTTAACCCACGTACGAGGCATTGCAGCTGCGTTCCGTTTATCGCAAACGTTCACTAGCCTCACGTGTGTATATTTCATCAAATCTTTGTTTTCGAAAATCTTTTTCAAATCTTTGAAAGTTTTTTACAAATCTTTAAAACCTTTAAAATGTTTTACAAACTTTTGTTTAGCCTTTGAAAATTTTTGTTTTACTTGAATCTACGAGATAGTTACTCATCAAAAGGCTTTCTTTCCGCGTATTTGACCAAATAACACGTCGCTTCCTCGACAACACCTTTTCCCAAAACCTCCCGTCATTACTGCTCACAAAAATCCATCTAATTCTGTCATTTTTTCACAGGTATGCATTCCATTCAAATACACACATAAATAAATCGCCTTAGTGCTGCCGCTTTTCCGCATGTACTAATGAAATTTGTTTTCCACCTTTCTTAACGTATATTTTCTTTCTCCCCTTTAAGGAAAAAGTTCTCAAACCTCAGAGATTGGATGTTGTGTGTTCATTAAAGTGTTATAGCTGTACGTATTGTATGTGGGTCAAATCACACGTCATTTACACATTGGATTTTCGTAGCACATGAGAATATCTCCAATTGAAGGTAACCAAATCTCACGCCTTGCGTCATCGTGCATTTTTGCTAACATAAACATGTCAGGAGATACCCCCAACATGGACGACTTTGAAAGAATTTCCTCTTCTCACGATTCATACAAACTCTCCTTTAATGAGAGCCTCATAATCAATAGCTACAAGTCTTCACTTATCGACAGTATAGCAAAAATACAGTAGAGCAAGTCCATTGAATTTTTTGTGCTACGTATATCTCATTGCGCGTATGATTACTATATTGGAAGCTAGTAAATTGACTTTTTTTGAGTAATAGGAGTGCTGAGCTGGCTAACGGCAGTCTGTTATCTAATTATATGTACAGCAGAAAGTTTCTCAGCAAAGTGGACCTTTGGTATGTTTCCTTTACTATGGCTTAACATCTGTCCAAGGCAGTTCTATTCAACTCTTTTAATTTCACTATATTTTGCTTCCTAACTTCGTAATTTATATAATCTATTTGACACCGTCTCATTTTGTATTCTAACACCTTATGTAAATATGATTATTTCTCATAACATCCTATTAAGCATGCAAAGCTACCGAACCTTCCGATTTGTTAAATACGGCCCTATAATGCGGCGGATGTTTAGTTTTATTTTATGTTTTTCTACGTGTTTCTGTGCACCTGTTCACTTCAGAATTGTTTTATATTGATGAGGAATATTTACTCTAAACGTCCCTAATGAATATTTTGATGAGAAAATACGTCAGTGAACGTCCCTGTGATAGCAAGAGGCCACCATGTTATTACTTAGTTAAATGCTGTTAATGACCTAATGTTGACAATGACCATATACAGTCTCTCAGATCTATAACAATTCAAACCAGCGGTTCATAACAGGTAATTTTACAAACAAATCTAAACAAATTTCGAAAACAAACAGCAAAAATTTGAAAACAAAAAGAAAACAGGAGAGAATGCCAACTTTTACAAAACAGCGAGGACAAAAAGTAAAGAAAGGCTTCGTTTCAGTTTAAATAATACTTTATAATAAACCTTTTATTAACTTGTTTATTCGCTCTTCGAGCCTGCGAGGTCTGCACATAAAGAATTAAATGATCCGATATTTCTCTTTAAAGAATTCGCGATTGCTTAATAAGGGACTTATTATACAACTAATTTTAATTTGGTATTTCAAAATTTATGTGTTTCTACATGCTTTTCCTTCCACCTGTTCACATCAAAACGTAGGCTTAACAACAACACTTTACAGCTAATTAACATAGCTAAGTTACGAAGAAAATTGTGAAAATTGCCTAAATTGAAATGATCCTTGCTTGTTGTAGTAGACTTTGATAATATCCAACAGAGTGGCTGTCCAATGCATCAACTAGAAGTTTGTTTTTTACCAAATTAAAATTAATATTGAAATGTTAAATTGTTGTTCTTAATTCTTTACCGCTGAACCCAATCACTTAAACCATTTTTCATTCATAAGTCATTATTCTTTGATGCATTATTTTTTTGCCATTTCTCTTTGTATTTGTGCTGCTGTCCTCTTGTGAACAGACACTTGTAAGCAATAAAAAAAAGCTGGTTTCATGTTGTAAATTTTATTGTATAGTTCGGTTCGACATAACTTGGTGTATTTGCGGTTACAATTTTTTACCAATGAATGTTAGTAAAAATTAAATTTAGTGTTAACAAAGTTAATATTTAAGAACTTAAAATACGCAATGGGAACAATATCATTTTTTGTCATTTAGCACTTGAAGTCATTAACCTGTTTTGCAGTGTTCACCCAGTTTAGATGCATTAATTTTGCTTCGGCGCTTTGTCTAAACAGAGGTAAAATATCAAAAACTTATCTTCTATAACATTGCTTCGTCAACCATTGTATTTATCTTAATTTTTCTTTGTTTCCAAATTTTATAACACATTTAAAGCATTATTGTCGATTCCTAAAGGGTAGGATTTGAGGCAAAACAAAATTCAATAAAATGTTAAATAATTGTGGCAGTCGGCATAAGTACATGTTTATATATTCTCAATACACGCTACTCCACACTGGAGGAAACAGCTTAGGCCAGCACTTACAAGTAAAACTTTGCGAAAACCACAATTCTATTGTTTACCATACTTGTACGAATATTCACTTTCTCTGTTTGTTTAAGGCGTATTTCTGCAGTTGCCTTTTTGTGTGCGTTTTTCAAACAAAGACGTAAAGACAATAAAAGAACAAAAGGTAAGATGTAATAAATTACGTTGGCTACAGTTGATGGTAAAACGAATGTTTGTTTATCCTCGTTGCTTTGTTAGCATTTAATATAGAGCAATTTTTTCCTTTGACAGAGTTTAGCAGCTTACATGATGCCGGCCTTCCCTCGAAGTATTGTGGTTTCAAAGGCTAAAGACATCAACTATTAAACGTTTTCATAGATCAGAATTGAGTCAATTTTTTTCATAATTCCGTGGAAATTGTATGCAATCCAGGAATAGGCGTATTGTTTCATTGTTGATGAGGGTATTTAGTCTAAACGTACCTATTGATTGTACTGACGAGGAATATTAAGTCTAAACGTCCTAATGAATACTTTGATGAGGAAATATGTCAGTAAACGTCCCTGTGATAGCAAGAGGCCACCATGTTATTACATAGTTAAATGTTGTTAATGACTTAATGTTGACAATGATCATATACAGTCTCTCAGATCTATAACAGTTCAAACCAGCGGTTCATAACAGGTAATTTTACAAACAAATCTAGACAAATTTCAAAAAACAAACAGCAAAAAATTTGAAAACAAAAAGAAAACAGGAGAGAATGCCAACTTTTACAAAACAGCGAGGACAAAAAGTAAATAAAGGCTTCGTTTCAGTTTAAATAATACTTTATAATAAACCTTTTATTAACTTGTTTATTCGCTCTTCGAGCCTGCGAGGTCTGCACATAAAGAATTAAATGATCCGATATTTCTCTTTAAAGAATTCGCGATTGCTTAATAAGGGACTTATTATACAACTAATTTTAATTTGGTATTTCAAAATTTATGTGTTTCTACATGCTTTTCCTTCCACCTGTTGACATCAAAACGTAGGCTTAACAACAACACTTTACAGCTAATTAACATAGCTAAGTTACGAAGAAAATTGTGAAAATTGCCTAAATTGAAATGATCCTTGCTTGTTGTAGTAGACTTTGATAATATCCAACAGAGTGGCTGTCCAATGCATCAACTAGAAGTTTGTTTTTTACCAAATTAAAATTAATATTGAAATGTTAAATTGTTGTTCTTAATTCTTTACCGCTGAACCCAATCACTTAAACCATTTTTCATTCATAAGTCATTATTCTTGAAGCGATGTTTTTCTTGTCATTTCTCACTGTATTTTCGCTGCTGTCGTATTGTGTCTATTGTTTAAACAAACACCTGTAGGCAATAAAGTTACAGCTGGTATTACGATGTAAATTTTACTGTATAGTTCGGTCCGACACAATTTGTTGTATTTAGGGCCTAAAATTTTGCTAATGACTGTCAGCAAAATTGAATTTACTGTTGGTAAAGTTGATAGTCAAAAACTTAAAATACGTTTTATATTGTAACAATATAATTTTTCGTCATTGAGCACTTGAAGTCATTAACCTGCTTTGCCGTGTTTGCCCACATTAGATGCATTATTTGTGCTTCGTTGCTTCGTAGCTATAGACAGAGGTAATTCTTTAAAATATCAAAAACTCTACCTTCTATAACATTACTTTGTCAACCAACAACAACATCCAAATTTCCAAACATTAAAGTATTATTGTTGATTCGTAAAGGATAGGATTTGACGCAAAACAAATTCTATAAAATGTTGAATAACTGGGGCAGATGGCATGAGTGTTTGTATATACTCAATATGGCACTGTACATTTGAGGAAACAGCCTTGGCCAGCAGTTGCAAGTAAAACGTTGCGAAAGCCACAACTCTGTTGTTCGTCTGACTTGTATGTATCTTAATTTTTCTCTGTTTGTTTAAGGTGTATATCTGCAGTCGCCTTATTGTGTCCGTTTTCAATTAATAAAAACAAAGGTAAGATGTGATGTAGTTGATAGTAAAACGGAAGTTTCCTTATCTTATTTATATTATTTAATACTGCAAATTTTTCTTCGACTGAGTTTGGCAAATAAGTGTTAATACAAACACCACACAACTTACGCCCCCAAATGATTTGATTCTTATAGTAAATGGAGAGATTTTTCATTTACCACAATACCTCCACGCTAGATGTAGGATTTGGGACAGGTTATCACATTAATGTTTTGATTCATATATTTATATACTATCATATTTTTGCTCAAATCTCTCAACTACCTCAAAAGCAAATCCTATTCCACTGTTTTGTAAAAATTTTGTTCTTTAGCGGAACCTGCGAAAAATTAAAAGAAATCCCTTAAGATTTTCAATTCTTATGGAGTATTCATTGTCATCAAGTACTCCACAAATAACTGCAAACAAAGGAATAAGCTTGAAAAATGTAAAAGTTGCACAACATTTCTACGATTTTCTGTGATATTTCTGTAAATTTTATAAAAGAATTTGAGCAATCTCAAGATAACGCTGAAACCCAAAACTACTTAGCTGCCCTTAATATCGACGTTCGTTTATTTCGTAAGCTCTTCCTCCTCAATAGAAAAAGCTCCGCGGTGCATGTAATGTAAATATCTAACACCCTTTCAACATTATTTTTGGTCATTATCTTTTGAAATTTTTAATTTATTTAGTTAATTTTCAACTGTAACTTTTGAATTTGTCAACTGAGCAATTTAGCTGTTTTATACCTGCTAATGTGTTGAATTCGATGAATTAAAAATTCGAATGAAAATCCAATACGGGTATAGCATTAGAGACAATACGGGTATAACTATACAGCTATAGAGGCTGCGTTACAAGAAATTGTAAAGTATTTTATGATTTCATAGGTTTTTTACATGTATCATGACATAACAGGAAATTGAAATGAAATAGCTAATGGGAAGCTCTGCATGCACAATTGTTATTTTCATATTCAGATAAAGAATTTTAACATCGTCTTGGGTTTTTAATCTATTGTATCTAAAATAAATGATTTGCTTGATTTTAATTTGATCTCGCTTTCTTCACTTCCTTGGCGCTATCCACTAAAAAGCATTTTTCATCGTTCAATAAATCTCTTGAAACACAAGAAGTTGAAATTTAGACTGAACCGAGTAAGAAGAATAAAGCATAAATTTAAAGTTAACCAAGTTTCATTATTTTAAAAAACTTATAACCACGTACCTATATAGTAGCTACAGTGGCTACCAATAAGAGAGCCATCATGCAGCCATATGAGACTAACTCGATCTATTTCTGAACAGTTTTTCTCGCTACACAATTTTGCTGAAATGACTTTTTTAGATAATGCTCATATATTGCTCAAAAATACGTTTTGATCGTGATCTGCTTGCATCACAGATGTAATTGTGACGTAGTCATTGTCGATCTAAATATAAATTTAAAGTCTTCTGTGATAACGTACATACATCCAACAATCAATTATAATTTAGAGCTTTACTGTATATCCTTGGATCTATGCAATGATGAGTTTAATGATATGGTGGTTATTGTGGCTGTTATTTGGTCAAGGGTTCACAATGAAAATGGGTTGGAATGAAGAACTTGAGTTTTGTGAGGAAGAATGGAAGAAATTTGTGGAGGACAAAATTGAAATCGATTCGAAATGCAACAATACTCGTACACGTTGTTGTGTTGAGGAGAAGAAATATCTTTTGGAGCGATTTAAAATGTATAGTGAAATATGTCCACTCGAAGGTAAAGTAAACAACAGTTCAGTTTACAGTAAGTACAAAACATCAACTGCAAATGTACTTGGCAAACAATCACAACACTTATATTACTGAGGTACTGTTTAATTTAAATATGTAATTGAAACCGTGTTCTTAGAAAGTGCAATAAAGTAAGGTACCTAAAGTAAATAGTTTGAACCCGTAAGGTACATGTTAAAGTACTCAACTGATTTGGATACACTAGCTTCAGAGCATTGACGCAGCATAATATCTCGTTCATTGTTCCTCTGTCTAGTTACAAAAGCAAAGTAATATGACAGTAGAGTCAAAAATAGTAATATATGCTTGTTATATGATAAAGTCTGTATAGTTATTGTCTATTTGGGTTTAAGGAGGACTTTCGATTCAATGTGAATAGTTTGTAACATTTTGTGGCCAAATGAGTGTCACTTTCTACTTGTTCTTTTTCTCTGGACAACCAGTTAAAGATAACTTAATTTTTTGTTAGGGACATGTGGATGCAGCCCGATTATTTTAAACTTTACTGTTTTCTTACACGTCCATAATGGTGATAGTCGTCTTTTACGAAGAGCAATATCCGAAAAATGGAAAGAATTACAAAACTTCACATGTTCACATAAGTACATAAATGAAAAAATAAAGAAGTTACATCTTACATCTTCTGTTAGCTTTGGAATCAGACAACACAAAATCGTTTACAAGTATGTTTTATACGGTGGAAAAAATCACATTTGTTATGTTGTCACCAACGTGAACGTAAAACGAGGTACATGCAAGGGCAGCTCATTTTAGTTTCTCCTGTGTCAGTTTAATTTATAGTAAACCAATGTGATTATAATGCTTCATATTCAACTTCGCTCAAATCCATACGACACTTTAACCTATATTCAATTCATCATGTACGTATACTCTTAAGTGAATTTCTTTGCAGTTTCAAAACTAATTGAATACACCCCGGAACAGCCAAGCATGTTTAATTCGTCATACATATATTAAATGTAGATCTGTGAAAGAGTAAAAGCTCAATTCAAGAGCGTGTCTTGGTTATTTTCGGGTTTATTGATTTTATTCATTAACGATCACGTTGGAAGATTTTGGTTGTTTGTTAATGGGTGTGAGGGTTAGGGTTAAGATGTTCATATATTGATCTGTGCTAGTTAAGCTTTATTATTATAATACAACGGTGATGCAATCTCGATTGTGATTGTCCAAAAGCCTTCAAATAATTGTCAATACACTATCACCTAGAAAAACATTGAAAATTACCTGTAGGTGACGAATTTTCTTTATGAGACAACTGTATATACAAGAAATATTTTGGTAGAATCTTCATCGAGACTTTCAAGTGTTTTACTCTGCTCAAATTATCGGGAATATAGACGAAAAACACCGAAAGTGTTAAACTGTTTGTCCAGAGAGTTTTCATCGCGTATTTACAGGAAATAGACGAAAGCGAACCGCAAAATTTTTCAATCAGACTGCAGTCAGCGCTATCCCCTCAGATTTGCTTCGGTAGATATCCAATTGACCTCGGTCTGAATATTCTTTTATATCATGCTCAACTTAATCCAAAATTGTTAAATATTTTAACGGGAGAATGTTCTTATATCACTTCAGTAGAAATAAATTTCGTTGTATATTAACCCTCTGTATAATATCCCTGTACATATTTGTATGCATCTCTCCTCTGCATGTATAAACCTTTATAAACCCGTAAAAAAGCCTCACGATTTTGTATAAGCCCTGGCATGATATTTATTTAAATTGTTTGGAATTTTAAATTGTGCAACTCTGGTATTCTTATTATCAAGAGCACTATTTCACAGCACAACTTAAATGAACTCCACCAAAAGAGTGTACAGCTTACAGAGTTCACAATTCAGTTTTACATTGAATTATATATTCCTTGTCTTCAAGTTTGAATAATACTAACCTAAATCATCAACTTTTTCTGGGCACAAATTTGTATAAGTGCTTAGATAAACTTCCTTTTCATCAAAACGAAAGTCATGGGAGTTTATACAGATGAAAAATCAGGTTCAGCAAACAATCTTAAAATATTTCAAATATTTCAATTGCGTAAACAAACCATAACTCTCCTTTTCCATCGTAACAGACCGTGCGCCGTGAAATTTTTATTAATTGATTTTTACACTTTTCAACTTGTTTGTAAAATTTTCAGTCTCCATGCCATTGAACTAAAATACATGGAACGCTACATCAAGCATATAATTGAACCATATTTTACGCTACACGCGAGATTTTACCCAAGACACGCGCGTTTAGTGTTTCGAGTTCCTCTCGCGGAGTAAAATTGATTGACTACACACTCGTGTCTGGGGTAAAGTCTTGCGTGTCTGGGGTAAAATGACGGCTTTAAAAATTATTAGGGTTTTGTATTACAGGTAGCGTTCCATGTATTTTAGCTCAATGCTCCATGCTGGATGCCTTAAATCTGCATACGCCATTATTTATAAAATGACTCTCAACAGCAATTGGTTTATTTAATTTTTTAGAAAGGTTGAATTTCAAGATGACTTTTTTTGGAGTGTTTTTTCCTATATTGATAGAATTCAGTATCCTAAATTATTTTTCATAAAGTCATATTATTTTTATATATATATTTTGTAGAGTGTGGTATTTTCAATCAATTTTATCATGTATCATTGTCCTTTTTCAGATACGAATGGATTTTTCATCAAACATGTTCAGTCAGGAAAGTGTGTTGGGGATAATTTACCCTTTAACATGCTGAATACAATGAATTATTTTGAGGAGTCAGCTTATTTTAAATTTTTACAATCTGGCTCCATCAATAGGTTGAATACAACAAGGTGTCTTGTGAGAGAAAGATACGGAATTTATGTGGAATTATCTGATGGAAATTTTAATGGAGAATGCGGAGCCATCAATGCCATAACCCAAACAAATTGGGGTGGTCTATTCTATTCACGCTATAATAAATGCATAGTAACTACAGAAGGTTTTCTCCACCTTAGACTGACCAGTTGTAAAAATGAAGAAGATCAGCGATTCAATTTTGGCAAGTGAGAATATTCAACCAGTTAGCGTATTTATACTTAAACTCTAATTAAAAGCCACTGCAAGGCCGCAGATATAGGAATGACGCCAGTGAAGTCACTGCCATCACATTTTTATCAAATCAACTTTTATTTTACAGGAATTCACAAATAAGCTTGTATAGATATGAATTTACTTATTTTTTGTGTGTCTTTAATAGGCTCAGTAACATGTGATGGAAAAAATATATCGGACGTTAGTTGTTCTAATAATCAATATATGGTGATAAAAGTTGCAGAATATCGTGGATTGCGAAAAGGAAGCATTTGTGGCTACAGTTATCACTACAGTTGTAGTGTCGATGTAACCTGTGACCTTAAAAATTACTGTGATGGTGAAAGGGAATGTAATATAACTGTTGATGATAATCATTTTCCTTCGAATATTTGTCCTGGTTTGGAGAAATATATTTACTTTGAATATCAATGTAACTACAAAAGTATGGCATACAAAAAAATTTGCAATCGTAAGTATTATATGGGCAGATTATATTTTACTTCTTATTAAAGAGCTTCGGGACAAATTTCGACCTTAATGGGCAATGGTATGGTGCTCATTTTTATACTATGTACGTTATCAATTTAGAAAAATTGACACAAATTTGAATTTTCGTCGGGTGTCTTCACCAGGCGTGGTTTGTTTATGCAGTTTTATCTCGTATTGTATAATTTAGTGTCTTTTTATAATGTGACATTTAAACTTGTGTCCTAAATATTTTTCATAAGTTTAATGGTTTGGTGAATTTTGTGTTTTTAGTTTGTTAATGCAAACTTTGTTCATGGAAACATATCTTCTTCCAGTCAATTTTATTTTTCAAATCTATTTCTTTTTTAAAATCTTTTGGCCATTCTATGTAGGCTAAAAGTAACATTTACAATTGCATTTGTATTCATATTTTCATGATTTCACACTACAGAATTTTTACATATACTGTATATATATACAAAGATAGATTCATTACAATTCCTATGAATTGGGAAGCTAAACGCAGCGCTCACCTATAAAAAACGGTATTTGTTCTGGTTTCATTAATGATTCACATAATCACTTAGACACATTTTGTTGTGATTCGTGTTTACAACACAAGAGAAAAGTTCTCAGTTCAACCTATTTGCCTGTAGTTCATTGTCAACTTAAAAGTTAAAATCAAAACAGTGCTTACCAACTTTAAGTGTAAATCTATAAGATACTGTGTCCATCAGAATGTGGAAAACATTTCTGGTTAAGTGCTTTCAAACTAAAATTTTTTTTAAGTTAATGTCACCTTCTGTGTTCTTCTGATATTCAAACTCCGTGTATATATTTTATTCATGGACGAGATTTGTCATATTTATGTTCATAAAACCACTTCTAAAAACACAGATTTCACTTTAAGATATGCGCCATTTTTTGTGTGTCTTTAATAGGCTCAGTAACATGTGATGGAAAAAATATATCCGACGTTAGTTGTTCCAATAATCAATATATGGTGATAAAAGTTGCAGAATATCGTGGATTGCGAAAAGGAAGCATTTGTGGCTACAGTTATCACTACAGTTGTAGTGTCGATGTAACCTGTGACCTTAAAAATTACTGTGATGGTGAAAGGGAATGTAATATAACTGTTGATGATAATCATTTTCCTTCGAATATTTGTCCTGGTTTGGAGAAATATCTTTACTTTGAATATCAATGTAACTACACAAGTATGCCATACAGAAAAATTTGCAATCGTAAGTATTATATGGGCAGATTATATTTTGCTTCTTATTAAAGAGCTTCGGGACAAATTTCGACCTTAATGCGCAATGGTATGGTGCTCATTTTTATACTATGTACGTTATCAATTTAGAAAAGTCGACACAAATTTGAATTTTCATCAGGTGTCTTCACCAGGCGTGGTTTTTTTATGCAGTTTTATCTCGTATTGTATCATTTAGTGTCTTTTTATAATGTGACATTTAAACTTGTGTCCTAAATATTTTTCATAAGTTTAATGGTTTGGTGAATTTTGTGTTTTTAGTTTGTTAATGCAAACTTTGTTCATGGAAACATATCTTCTTCCAGTCAATTTGATTTATCAAATCTATTTCTTTTTTAAAATCTTTTGGCCATTCTATGTAGGCCAAAAGTGACATTTACAATTGCATTTGTATTCATATTTTCATGACTTCACACTACAGAATTTTTACATATACTGTATATATATACAAAGATAGATTCATTACAATTCCTATGAATTGGGAAGCTAAACGCAGCGCTCACCTATAAAAAACGGTATTTGTTCTGGTTTCATTAATGATTCACATAATCACTTAGACACATTTTGTTGTGATTCGTGTTTACAACACAAGAGAAAAGTTCTCAGTTCAACTTATTTGCCTGTAGTTCATTGTCAACTTAAAGATTAAAATCAAAACAGTGCTTACCAACTTTAAGTGTAAATCTATAAGATACTGTGTCCATCAGAATGTGGAAAACATTTCTGGTTAAGTGCTTTCAAACTAAAATTTTTTAAGTTAATGTCACCTTCTGTGTTCTTCTGATATTCAAACTCCGTGTATATATTTTATTCATGGACGAGATTTGTCATATTTATGTTCATAAAACCACTTCTAAAACACAGATTTCACTTTAAGATATGCGCCATAATCACAATTAAAGGAAAAATAATTTTGATTTGTGTAGTTATGGATGTACGCCTGTCTAAGTCGAATCTTCCGAACGAAGGTGTCGTGAATGTTATTACCAAGTATAGAAACTTCACCATTTGCAACAAAGGTCTTTTGCACAAAATAAAGACGATTATTTGTAAACAACTTGGTTATCCTACCGCAGCATCTGGGGGAGGCTCAATGTCACTATCATCTTTGATGCATCAATCGTTTATACCTGGAATTGTCAAATGTGATGCTCGAGTGAACGATTTATCTCAATGTGCTATCACTCAAAATAATGATTGCTCTCAATACTCGTACGTTGCATGTAAGCATTCTCATTCAATTTTTTGAATGTATTAACGTATTGCAGGACACATTTAAATGACGTTAGAAAAGATTTTTAGCGAAGAATTTAAGGAATGAATGTGTTACTTTTGTGTTCTCAACTTACATCTGTCTATTGTTAAGCATCATGACTTACCTCTATCATCAAGACTTACATCTGACATCGTAGTGTCACTGTATTTTTCGCTGACTTGGAGAATTTCACAATTCTTCTTTTACATAACAAAAGAAATATAGCATCACAAAATATAAACGATCGCTACTCTTAAATAATAAATAATTAAAACAGGATTGCTGCGAATACTGAGGATTAAATTAATTTTACTCTTGCTACTTCATTTCGTGCTTCAAAAAATGTCCAATTGTCATTCCTCTGCAATACGATTGACGTTCACTCTTTAATGGAATTTAAATCGCTACGGTATTGTTGTTATTTGACAAGATACTTACGGTTTCTTGTCATAGCTGGCTTGATTCCAACTGGAATTTAACCTTATTTAATAAAAGCATGCAAAATCAGTCGTATTCCTCCAATATATCTTGTGCTCTTTTTCTTTCTTAAGAAAACAGTTTTAATTTTTCCAATTTTACGTGAATGGAGAACAATATGAGAGTGCACCATTGCTCTCTATCAAATCAAACCAGTTCTAATGTTATAATGCATTTCAACCAAATCCTTTTCTATTTAAGGTCATGTTTGTGATAATCCTCTATTAAAAAACGCAGAAAAATTCCCAGATTCTTGGTTTACTGCCTTCCCAAAGAGTCGTAGTGCTGCTAAAGCAAGAATATCCAGTGGTAGTTCATGGTGTGCTCCTGCTGCTAATGGCAGTCATTATCTTCAACTGAATTTTCCGAGTCTTTATACAGTTAACGTTATCACTATCTTTGGAGACAGTTCAAGTTCAAGCTTTGTAACTAAATATCACTTGCAGACAAACATTGATGGTGTGAACTGGAAATCTGAAAAATCCCAGAAGGTAACAGTAGACTTATCGAATTTGTATATTATAAATTTAAAGGAAATTTAAAAAGGAATGAAGTTATAAACTAAGTAAACTTTTAAATTGCTATTTATATACAAACTTGTGTGCAGATGTTGATTCAGTGGTGTAGCCGGCACGCAAAATTGCTGGTTCTATGTAAATTTCAGATCATTATCATTATTCATTTCTTTAGAGATCTATTGTTTTACAGTTAGTGAGCTCTGAGAAATTTACATATAGCACGACCAAATTTGTGGGCTAGCTACGTCACTGTGTTGATTGTCTTGGTTACTCCTGCACTACGAAGGACTCTTGCATTTGATTATAAAGTTTAAATTGTAGCTATGTGCATGATTTGAAGAGATACATAGACAATGCATAAACTACTCTCCTCTGGACAGCGTTAAACAAACCTTTCTTTTCTCTAACCTTGCTCTGCAAATACACGAAAATCAATTTTTTGTTTTATTCCAGATTTATCTAGGAAACAAAATGGTTACAATGATGCGGCTATAGAAAAGTTTTCTGGTGGCCTTAAATCCAAAGCTTTGCGAATCTTTCCATTGAAATTTGTTGGTGCACCGTGTTTACGAATTGAAATTTGTGGTGGAGGTAAGAGGTAGAAAAATATACCAGGTTTACTTTGCACTGTAAGCACTTAATTTTTCAATATATAAAGTTTTTTTCTCTGAGTATTAATTAAACATGAGTTAGTTGACAAAACAGAACAATTTTCCATGAAGGCTGAAGTGTTAGTTTCTTTCTCTGTTGAAATAAACTTATTGAAACAAGCCTTTTCAACATGCAGTTAAGTTTAACACGTGTTATTGGAGAAAAAGCAGAACACTTATTTCACTTAGGGGCTACAAATGGTTCAATTTGTAGATTTTTCTTTTATCGTGCAGACTTACTCCCAGACAAACCAACAGATCTCATTGCAACCAAATCTGCATCGACGTACCTCGAGATATCATGGAAACATCCCAAAAAAACTGGTGTAAAACTTGGTACAAATATCTCGAATCCTCTTACAAGATATCTATTGATTTTGCTGAAGGATACTATGATTGTTTTTGATAAAACTCTGGAGGTAACTGACAAAAAACCGTACAACATTACGAATCTTGTTCCTTACGCAACGTATAAAGTTAATGTAACCGCTGGCAATTCTGAAGGCTTTGGTAGATCAACTACAGCTACTTTTAGAACTGCTGAAGATGGTGAGTTCATATCAGTTTTTGTGTATACATATCGGCTGTTGTTGCATTGATGGTGTTATTGCCATAGACGACTTTTGAAAGCTCAAATCTTTTCTGGTCGACATTTACTTCAATCATGTTTTTTTTATACTGTATTATATTTAACAATGACAGTGTACACTTCTTTCTAAAGTGTATTTAATATTTTATATAAATCTTTAAAACAAATGTTTTTATTTTTGTTTAGTTCCCGAAGGTCCACCTTTAAATGTTCAAATTGTCGCCTTAAGCAGTTCATCGTTATCAGTTACGTGGGAGCCTCCAGACAAGAAGAAAACAAATGGAAAGATAGTCAATTACACTGTTTGTATTACACATTTGGAGAATGAAACCTGTTCAATGAAGTATATGATCGAGGAACAGCGTTTGGACATAAATAATGTGAAACCAGGGACAAAATATTATGTTCGTGTTTTAGCTTCTACAATAGTGGGATCTGGATGTTACAGCAATGTTACATGGGTATTTACAAATGGATGTAAGTTGTCTATGGTTTATGCACAGGTTTGTTTAAGATGATAAATTTATTCAAGTTTATTTATTTAGTGGCACCTGAACTGTCCACCAAGCAGATTGGAAATACGTTGACTTATTTGTTGCAAAATCCAAATGTGGAATATCGGTAACTATGTATTTTACTAGAGCAAATTATTGTAAAAACTTAAAGGAACTTAAAAGTATTTTTTGAGTTTTTCGGATTCATGGCTAAGTATAGGACACTTGGTTTCATGTGGGATTGAGGTAGTTTAAATATCTCTCTGGGGAAAGCTTTGATGACTCGTCGCTTTTCTTTGGCATTTCGGATGCATGCATAACATATATTTTAACCATTAATAAAAGCAGAAGTTATGCATGTATTTTAAAAAATGTTTTGCCTTAAATTTGCAGATATTTCTATGTAGTCGCGATGAAAAATGTCACAGAAGAGAGTCGACTGCCTTCTAACTTTAAAAACACAGACTTAGTGACTTATTCTAAGGCCATATCTTCCACACAACCAATGCCGTATATTGCTGCTGTAGTTTCTCTCAGAGACTTTAAGCCTGATTTTACACTTGGTGATGGTGACAACACAACACGGCGTTCCAATGGTGAAAATTATTATAATGGCCCGCTAAAGCCTGGCACTAGCTACAAAATATTTCAGCGCGTTTTCATAAATGATCAGGTGCGACCATTTATTTACGTTTTCATCAGCATTGATTGCTGCAATTTTTATTCAAATATAAATGTTCACTTCGTTTCAGGGTGATTATTATTCCACTGACTGGAGTCCAGTGGCAGCAACTGCCCAAAAGCACAAGTCTTCAGGTTTGTGTTTGCTTTCAATAGCATAAGGAAGTTTATCGATGTCTAAAGTGCAATGATTCAAGATCTTTGCAAATTTCAGTATAGTAAAATGCCTGAAAATTTTTAAAGATGAATATAGATTTTGTTTTATGATACAACCGATTTAATTCCTACAAATAACTGCCTTAGTGATTTTGTGTACCTCTTCTCTAATTTCATTGCGTTCCAAACCTAATTTATACCATAAATAAATCATGAGTAGTTAAAAGGGATGAATACATGAGGTGTGAGCGGTTACACCCTCAGCTTTACAAAATGATCGCTGAAAGACAATATTTGTTGGTAATGTTATGATTTGTCATTCAATTTTATCTTGTAGACGGTGGAAAAATTGGAGCCATTGCTGGTGCAGTTGTAGCTGCAATTTTGCTCATTATTTTGTCATATTGGTCATTCTTTTGTTAGGATCAATTCAAACTCTGCTACAGTGCAGTGAACTGCGTATTGTAGTTATTTGACGGCTACTAAAAGTTCTCAAAAATGGGGAAGTTGAATTTTTCATGAAATTATTAGACGTTTTCTGAAATTTAACGTACTATAGAAGAATATGATTAAGCATAGAATTTTATTTCCTTTTAACTATAAGAGTGAACGAGAGTGAATGATTCTGAAGAGTATTTGAAAACAATTTGGAACATAACATCAAATTTTTAGGCTAAGGATGTAGTCAATATTTGAAATAGGATAATAGTTGTAATACTTTTTATCTAAGTACATTAAATAAGAAATAAAGTTAAATTACAAACAAACAGTGGCGTAGCATGCTCAGTAATTTATTTAAATAAGTTGGGGGGAACGGGATTTTCATTCATTCATAATTTTGGAGTCAATGGAATATATATGAATATGTACACACTGTCATCTCATTAATTTACCTGACGTAAGAAACAGGAGTTTTAGTGGATGGAGTTTACTTTGTTACCAACTATGTTAGTATAATGTTGCTGTTCTTGTCCTTTCCTGTTTTCCTTATTATCCCCATTATAATGTTCATTTTAAACTCATCCAAAGTTATCGAGTTAATTGAATTTTCTGATAATTTGATTGCTAGAGTGCTAGGAGCATTATGTTTGGCTGTAGACTAGAGATCAACGAAAAAAGAAATGGGTTTGAAGCTACCAGACAAGATTTTACAAAACAAGAAAAATGCATATGATCTCCCAACACGTCCTTCTCTCCTATAGTTTTTGTCAACCCTCTCCTTGTTTTTCAACACTGGCCGGAACACCCACCAAAGATTGATCTAGGTAGTCGGTACTAAACTTCCGCAACATTAAACCCGTTTAAAATTTATATTTGCGTTCGAATTATGTTTGAATTATGAGTAAAATATCAAATTGTTACAAATACAGAAGTACAAAATATCATTCAGAGATTCTCGACTCTAGATATGAAAAATATAGCCAACCCTATCACGAGTTTCTCCGATTCATTAGTTTTTATTAGTTGGAACACACACCAACGATTATGATGTATGAGCTTTCACTTCCTAAGAATATGAGCAGACGAACCCCAAGTAAAACAGTTTCTTCTCGTCATGTAATATCAAGTAGTCTATTGATATCTTCAAGTAATCACGTGTTATTTATAGTTCAGTTGCTTTTTTGTCCGCCTCCTGCTCACTTAATGTTTATTAAGTTCATCTTTGTCATTCATTTATATCCTATAAACGGTAAAAATGATGGTGCTTTTACTGGTGCAGTTGCTGCTCCGGGTTGGTTTTTTATTCTTGTCGTATTGGCTGTTCGTTAGGATCAATCTAAACTCTTGTACTCGAACGTGCAGTAAAATGCGTGTTGAAGTTATTTAACATCTACTGACAACATTTGATGAGAGTGAATTCTTGACTTGCAATTCAGCCATGTTGGCGGTTTGATAGAAATGAATATTTTATTAGTGTTATTGTTGGCACTAGCCGACGTAGGCGAGCAACATTGTTTGGTAAATCTCAAGAGAATGGTTGCAAGTCAAGAATAGTTCTGAATTGAAATTTAAATTATCAAATGCTCAAATCAAACACTCTGCGGCGACTGCTCACTTTAATGTCTTAATCTATAGGTTAGTTTATCAACCGCTTGCTTGTTCATTAAAATTATTTAACAATGATTGTAATTTGTATAGAAGTAATAAAGAACTTACCTTTTAGAAAGGAAAATTACAACTCAGTATACGTAGACACTGGATGTACGATTTGGCATTGTGAAAGTGGATTGTATTTTGGAATCATCAGAATGTTCTAACCCACTATGAGAAAACTCAATTACTACGGTAGCTCTCACGAAGTGTCTATTTAGCTAGTTAAAGTCGCTGATATAACTCAAATTTTCTACCCCACAAATCTTTCGATAATCTTCCTCGTGATGTAGTCGTTCATCACATGAATTTACCTAACGTGAGAAACAAGGAGTTTTTGTGGATGGAGTTGATTTTGTTAGTTGTAATAAGATGGTGCTGTTCTTGTCCTTTCCGGTTTTAATTTATATCGTCATGATAATATTCATTTTAAACATTCAAAATGATCAGGTAAATTAAATTTCCTTAATGATTTGACTGCAAATGCTAGTTAACGTTGTGCTTCGGCTTAGATTGGTGATTAACAGAAAAGACATGGCTTTGAAGCAATGACACAAAATTTTACAAGATGTACAAATCATGAAGCGCAATACCTAACTGGTTTCAATTTTTGGCTTATGCTTTCATTCCAGTTATTTAAATATTGAGTTCCCTGGTTAAATGATGTCATGCAATATGGCGGATAGGAAGAATTTGGATAGTCTTGTGGTTACGGACGAAATTTTGTCATCAAAAAGGTATTGAATTCCTTTTTAATATTAGTTGTCGGTTCTTAAATATTTCATTACATTTTTTTTTCACTTTGTACTTCGTTGGCGTTAAGTTGACCTTTTGAAATTGAAAATCATTAGTTACCATGTTTTGAGACAAAGCCGAATAACAAAGACTCCGCAGAGGGCAAAATATTCTCCATGCCTGTATCTGTGTGCTATTCGTATTTTTCCTTTTATTTTTTGCTGATGCGGCATCGAATTAAATTAGAATTATACGTTGTAGTTTCTCTAAATTACATTTATACGAATAAATTAGAAAACCAAGAATCACAGGCAATTTTATATGTAGATCAAAAAGTTTATGGTATGATTTGTGGTTTTATATTTGATGTCTTCAAGAAGTGAATCTTAGAGTTGAATTCCAGATATCAAAATTGCGAGTCGCCTTTATCTGATATGATCAATGTAAAAAGTAATAATATATTTTTGTCTGGTGATTAGTGTCCTTTAATTAAAAAGTGATCTGATGTTGAAACTTAAGTCATTATGTGTTCCAGTCTTTGTGTGGAGTGATTTTTTGTATAATTACAATGGTTGTATAGCTGTTTATAAAAATTAAAGTCAAAGTAATCCAGTCCAGTATCTTCATTCCATACTAGTTACTTTTATAATTGTGTGAAGATAGTATTTTTAGCAACTGGTCTTTTGATACTTCTTTGTTGTGCTTTTACAACATTTTTTCATCATTAAAGAAGATTCAACATTCAATTACAGGCTTCGACATACCTGCAATAAAACAATAAAATATTCATTATCTTAAAGGAAAAATCAGAAACGCGTGCCTACAATCAATACGTTTCTATAAGAGAAAAGTCAGAATCATTCGGATAATAAGAAATTTCTATAAACATGTTTAAATCTCTGCTTTAAATAATTGGTTGCAAATAAATCAATACACTTCTCTTTCATAGAAAGTTCATATGTATATGTTTATGCAGTAGCGTAGTCAGTCAGACTATACTCTCGCTATGCAAATATTTTTTGCATTTAATAAATACGACGAGTTGTTTTAAAATAAATGTGTTTCAACATCTTATGATTGCATCTTCATTATAATAAGAATATTATGTATATGCATGATAATTTTATATAAGAGTAATATGATGCAGTGATACAATTATCAGTAGATTATAAATATTAAAATGAAATACTGGTTGGAACTAATTTATGAGTGTAATTACAGGCTGAATATGGTGTTAAAACGAAAAACGTGAACGTTGAGATTACGATTAGTTTTGTTATTGTGAAATGCTTCTTTTAAAAAACCCCGTCGTATTTATTAAATGCGCAATATCAATAGTGTTTTTACGCAGTTGCAGCAAATATTTTTTTGTTTACTGACCGTAAGAACAATAGATTTCTAAAGAATGTCTTTATGAGCAGTGGCGTAGCTAGGAAAAATAGTTACTCCCGCCAATCCATCTCGCGCCGAAGGCGCGACCCCACTAGGGGGGTCCGGGGGCATTCTTCCCCCGGAAAATTTTGAAATCCAGAGCCTTGGAAACAGCATTTCCTGCGATTTCGAGTGCGAATTATTTGTTGTACAATAATTTATAAAAACCCATTTTTGTTAGCTGCATTCTTAATGTGGCAATCGTTGAAACTGCAACTAGTTAAAAAGTACTAAAGGTGGCTCAGAGAAACGTTACGCAGGAGACAATTGTCCCCTAAAACATAATTTACTCATCACTGCCCCTGCATAAACAGAAGAAATTTGTATTAGCACAAAAAATAATATAGTATACGACACTTCTAAAGTGCATAGAGAGATTTTTCTTAGCATTCTACTTGTTAGTTTAAACTTGTTTAGATTGGGGCAAGTAGACAGGGATGGCTTTATTCTTTAAAGTTATGCTTAATTTTCTCAATGAAGTACCATGTATTATACGAACAAATATCAAAACACATACTATACTCATCATTTATAAAGAAAGGCCAGCCTCCTGGGTTTTCTACAAATTTTCAACCACCTCGTTATGCAACACCTCTGATTCCTCTTTCTTTTCAATGATATCTTTGTGAATAGATATTCTACACAAAGAGCTAAGCCGACCTTGACCCATTCTATTTCTTAAATAGCTTTTATCCTTTTAAGCAAGAAAACGACCTCTCTACTGAAGCACTTGCCACTGCCAACACACCATTCAATTTTAACAAATTTACCACTTGACCTAAACTCGACTGGAGATTAAATTTGAAGATGTATTTAAGAACCTCATTACTGCACTCTTTGTGAAAGTCCTTGTCGTTGTAAATGAAGGAAAGTTGACTCTCCAAAGTTTGGATGTCAAAAGAGGACTATACTTATCTTTGAGAAGATTGATCTTCTCCTGTGGAACTATGCCCTTCCATGTAGTAAATAGTTTAGGATTTACAAGGTCTAAAACTCGAACTGATTAATATCTTGAAATCGTTCACTTAACATGCCTTTAATGGAATCAATAATCTCAAAATAAAGCTGTTTGTAATTGTATCTACTATCTGCTCTGGTTGCTGGTGGGCCTACTTTTCTAGTGCAGTTTGGTAAAACTCGGTGAAAGCTTGATCTGTGCGAAGTGACACAATAAACTGCTTGAAATTGTCAATCTTGCTTATGCCATAGTTAAAATGGGTTTCCCTATTTTGAAGAATGGAATACAAAATTGTGGACTGTTCTAAAATCCTGTAAAAAACACACACTAGAAAACAAAAGAGAAAGCTATCAAGATAATGCAGTAAGCCACTTATTTTACTTAATGACTCATCATCCCACCCAGCTGGTTGTTCAAGTACCCCTCAAAAATATCTAAAAGTTTTCATAGTTTTTGTGCAATACATTGATTAATCTAGAGCGATAATACCATCTTGTTTCACCAGGGCAGGAAACTCAAAGTTGTTAGATGTGAGAAAAGCTTTTCTTTTGGGGCATTGCTTGTAAATGTGCTGAATGTAGCTATATTAATAAAAAGATTTTAACAGGAGAAATTGATGAGGCTGACTGGCATAGGACCAGGTTCAATCTATGAGCTGCACAATGAACAAAATGAGCAAAAGGATACTCTTGTCGAACCAATGCTTGAACACCATTGATATGGCCAGACATGACAGAAGCACCATCATATGTTTGTAAAACCAGTTTTTCTTTTATATTAGAATACTCACCAAGTTTATCTTTGACAACTTGTGATATTGCTGTGGCATTTCTGTTCATACTTACATCCACAAATCCTAATTGCCTCTCCATAATTTCACTTGCTTTGTCAAACCGAGCAATAACACTTAGCTGCTCTTTGGTGGAGACATCAGATGCTTCATCAACCTGAATACTCATAAATGTGCAATCATTTATTTCCTTTCTGATTTCATCTTCAATAATTGAATCAAGACAGCTGATAAGACCATTTTGAATTTCTGGGAGACTCCAGTAAATCTTCTGTCACCAACTATATCAGATTCTGCTAGTCTACTGTGCAGTCGACGCTCAAATACAGAATCAAACTTAGCAAAACATTCGAGCAACTCTCTATAATTACCTTTGTTCAAGCTACCTTCGGACTCATTGTGACCTCTAAATGGCAACTCTTGCTTTGACAAATACAGCACGGCCTCAGTAACAGTTTTAAAATTTCTCGATTTTGTCTTACCTCCTCATTGTGACGCTGAATCTCATTTCTTCTAGCGAGGGACATAAGACAATCAATTCGTTCACTAGCTCCATACGTTTTCCATGTCTTAAATGCAGTCAAATGCGATTTAGATTTTTCATGCTTCTTAGCATCAGACATAATACTCCGCATATCGTTGTAGCCATTCTTAGTCCACGATGGCGATGTTTTTGGGGAAAACATTAGACATGGCCAACAAAACACTTTCTGCAAGGTTGTACTGCCACACAGCCAGTCTTTCGCCTCATACCAATCTTTCTGAAATGCTCTTCCCTTATTTTGGATAGTTAAATCAGGAGTAGGCCGTTCATAAACGATAACATTCTGTTCGACCGACGATCGAGCAGAGAACGGTTTAGCTAATAAGCTATTTACTAAATCAACATCAGTTGAGCAAATCGCAGTCGCACTTGAAGCTATTGTGTCATACACAAATACAAAATAGCAATTTGAGAGTAAACACAATGGAAAATTAATACCGACAATGACACGTAATTTGATAATCACTAATCGCTGTACTCGTATTAAAAGGTCGAATAATTACAACCTCCGCCAATTTAAAATAGCGGGAGTTCGACTATAAAAACAGCAAATTTGAGCATGCGTCAAGTCCCTTAGCCAACCAGAACTCAAAACTTCTTATATAGAATTATATTGTATGTTCCGCCCTCTGAAGATGGGCAAAATACGTGGAGAATCGCGCGAGTATGCAATTTGCGAGAAAAGGCGGTTGCTAGGTTACATAACAAATCTTGAGATTTTGCTGTATTACGATTACGAACCACCTAATAAAAGCGTAAATATGAACGAATAAAACATAATATTACAAATTGTTCGTGAAATAATGTATATCTTATGTCCAAATAGAATATTTATTATTTTTTTGGGAAATTTCTACTCCCGCCGGGCGGGAGTAGCGGGACCGCTAGCTACGCCACCATTGAGCTCTATAAGAGCTGGAGGGGAAAAGGGGCCTGGACCCCGTGGTCAAAAACATGGCGGTAATGGCGGATTTTGGTTGTCAAAACTTCCACTTTGAGAAAAATTTTAACATTCGCTCCCTCCCGAATCCGGATCTCTATTCCTGCTTATATTAATGACAACCAGCGAAAACAACCACGATACCGTAAGCATAAAATATTGAAAATAATGCTTCAGGTTTTTGTGAAATAGACACACACATTTAAATGAGGTAAAATAACGTATATTTTGTCAAGTAATGCTTTAGCTATATTAGAACTAAATATCAAACGGCATTTTTTACACTGTCAATGTGTTGTTAAGCTTTAATGCATAATCCATTAGCATTACTTGTGTTTTGACTGTTTGTTTACAGCTTGGTGCAACTGTCTTTCCTGAATAGATGGGTAAATCTTAGTTAAAACGTCCAAAAGGAGTTAGAAAAGTTAGCTTACCCCTACGACTTAAGTCGACTGGAAATATATTATAAGTAGGTATGTAATTTTTGAGTTTTTTGGTAGGATTGATTCTGGGTGTCTTATAAGGTATTATGATATTCTTATAAATCTACTGAGAACTTATGAAGAAAATATCTTGAACTAGGAGAGCAAAAGATTGAAATTCAGAAATTCTATAATCATGTTGCTGGTTCTGTTTTGAGCCAAGATATTAGAAACTGGATTGTCATTGACAACCATGGATCTACTACTGAACAGAACTACATTAATTTCCCATTGAAAATACAATTTCATAAATTAAAGTGCATTGGTTTCTCTGACATTACACTTTTCTTATTGCTGCATGAAGGCAAATCTGTTTAAATAATTATAATGTAGGTGAAGATATTTAGCATGTTGTATAATTGTTATTGTACAGTCATTATTTATAATATTATGGCCTTGTGTAATGTATGTCAAGAAGAACTTATTAATTCTCAAAAATGCTAACCTTCTTGCACTACTTTTCTCTTGTGTCCTTACAAATTGCAGTTACCTGTACTAATTTTTTCTAGGTTCAAACAACTTGACAAACTTTTGAATTTTACATTATGCCTTGAATTTTGTTTTCGTCTTTTGATAAAAATATCAGTGAATGACTTAAAAATCAAGTTTATCTAAAATAGTATTTTGTACAAAGAAATTATACATAATTTGAAAAGTCTCATGTTGAAGACTGATGTCGCTTCTTTTTCTAGATTGCTACTCTTATTCTTTTAAATGATATCGTAATTCTTCAAGACATAAAAAGTTCTTTGGCATCAATTTTTGCTCGTTCCACATTCAACTTCATTGCAACCGATGCATCTTATGTGAATTTTTAATCACCTGGAATTGAAAAATGTATGGATTTTGTCAGATGATGCAGTACTATATTTAATGTTTCATGCATGTCATCATAACCTTTTCTTGAGCAAATATTTTAAGGTAGGAGCAAAATTTGGCCCATTATTGAACAAAATAGTTTTTATCTTGATTTTGATGTACTAACCTGTTTACTATAACAAACAATTCATTTACAGAAACACCAGATGGAATTTATAAAACTTTTAGCATAAAACAAACCTTTACACACCATCATCAAAATTGTCCATAATCTGTCAAATTATCCAGGCTAGCTGTTTAATACAGGTATTTTTTATTGTACGACATGTACCAAAGAGCTCATTAATTAATCCTGCACTGCATTTGATTTCAATACAGCTCTGATCTTAATATTTGCTTCATATTTTCAGAAAAATATCATGAAAACACCCTCCATTTCTTGAAGGTAAACTCAGTTGAAACAAGGAGTTTTAAGATATGCATATCTCGATAAGAATTGGTTGCTTTGCCTCGTCTAGCAAGCGATTAAGTAAAGAAAAAATAAGACTGGATAAACATAACTTAAATTATAACTTAGGAGTAAAAACATTCACAAAATATATACCATCACACTTCAAGTATTGACTTAAAACAAAACACTGAACACTTTAAATAGTAAACAATATCACGTTGCTTACCGTAGTCATGAAATGTTTCCTTTTCTGACATTACTTCAGCATCCGTATACCAAACAAGTTTGCAGCATGTTTTAAAGATAAAATTTCTAAAAGTTTTTGTGCTTGGCATTGATATTTTATATAATCGCAATTGTGGTTGTCAAAACCGGGTGGGCGAAAAAAATTTTATTTTATGAGCCCGCGTCTTTCCGCTGACTTTGACAACCAAAATCCGCCATGTTTTTGACCACGCGGCCGCGCGCTAATAATTTATAGTAATTTGGTTGACGTTTCCCCTCCAGGTCTTATAGAACTCAATGTACGCCACTGTGTAGTGTGTAACCTCTTCACCTGGGAACAGCCTTGGAGTGAGGAAACAATGGGACGTTCGCCATGTTGGTTGAAATTTGCATTGTAAAGAAATAAAATACATTGTCAAAATCATTCAACATAGAGACCATTTCGTAATGTGATAACACCAAGAAAATAGTTGCAACTATATTAAGATTTTACAAGAGCAGCTTCAAAATGGACATCGAAATAAAAATATCATATTTTTTATTGCTGTGTTTCCACACTTCTTTCGTTCAAAACAACTTAATTAAAAGCAATCAAGCATTTTTTTTCATATGCACATCATCAATGTACGATCTATTGATCTGTTTAATCAGAGGTCTTTTATTTCTGTCGTACTAGATACCGGATGTACGTGATCTCAAAACCAGCTTACGTAAGTTGTTCAAAGTTTGCTGTCCCAGCAATCCCCCTAAAGATTCCACTCAAGGTGATCCATTTTTCAAGTCGTTGCAAGATACTGATTGGTTGAAGCAGGTATCAGCTGGTTTACGCTGTTTTATATAATATATGTATATTGATGGTTTCAATTGTATTATGATAATCTAACTCATATTTAACAACAGGTTTTCTACTGTGACGTTTCTCAACATGCTGTTGTGTGATTTTTTTAAATTCTAAACTGTGGTTGCTAGACAATACATTATTTACGATTCTTGTGTCGTCAAAAAGGATGGAATCGTATTCCAATTCCAAATTTCTTATGTATATTCGGCTGTGTATAGTTTAAGCATGGTAATTTACAGTCTACTCCTATACTATATTCATTTTTGGATATTTAATTTGGATATTAAGGGGTACCTACAATCCATTGAACGCTACAATCGCAATTTCTTTTCCTTAATTGTTTTGTATATATAGTATTTTGTGAGGAAATCGGCGCCCCTCCTGCATTCCATCTGGCCAAAGCTAGAAGGGATGCATAATTAATTGTTTTGTATACTTATTTTGTAAGGAAATTGGCACACCTCCTGCATCTCCATCTGGCCAAGGCTAGAAGGGTTGCACAACCCTCGGAACATATCGATCCTAAACTCGTTTTTGTTCTACTGGGAACCATTGGATTGTTTAAAAATATATTAAATCTCAACTAGCTACGATCCAAAGTCAACAGTCAATAGAAAAGAACATTAGTTTACGTTTAGTTCATATTTTTTGATATTTGACTAGGATATTACGGGGGCATCTAATTTTGATTAGATATTGGTGGCTACTTGTTGCCGAAAGTCAGGCTATTTTCGTTAAATTGTTCAAACTCTGTTCCATTGAACGCTACAATCGCAATTTCTTTTCCTTAATTGTTTGGTATACTTAGTATTTTGTTGGGAAGTTTCCACTTCTCCTGCATTCCATCTGGTCAAAGCTAGAAGGGTTGCATCCTTAATTGTTTGGTATACTTAGTATTTTGTAGGGAAATTTCTACCCCTCCTGTATTCCATCTGGCTAAAGCTAGAAGGGTTGCATCCTTAATTGTTTTGTATACTTAGTATTATGTAAGAAAATCGGCACCCTTCCTGCATTCCATGTGGCCAAGGCTAGAAGGGATGCACAACCCTCGGAACATCTCGATCCTAAATTCGTTCTTGTTCTACTGTGAACCATTGGATTGTTTAAAAAATATATTAATACTCAACTAACTACGAACCAAATTTATTAGTCAATAGAAAAGAACATTAGTTTACGTTTTTCCCATAAAGATAAAACAGTAACCTATGGGTAACTCTATCCAACGAAGTATATTTTTTTGCCACGAGAACGTTCTTGAAAGATATGCAGAAGAAAGTATTGAAACATTGACTTTTGCGGGGTTTTTTGGTGTATCTCATGCCTATTTTCATTTGTAGTTATCGCTTGTACTTCGGATATCAGGTGCTGTCTTGGATCTTTTGGACATTCAGGGATCATCTGTTCTTGTCTCGTTTGAAGATGGAGGGGACATTACTACACAAGTAAGCTTCATTTAAGCACCTACCTTATGTTATTTACAAAAGTTACTTGTTACGTATGCTCCTATAAACCATTGACGTCTTGCAAAACATCTTTTATATTAGGTCATACTTCATGTAAGATCTCCTTTTAGTAGCGTGGAGTTTGATCTCTGGTTATACATTGAGTTCTATAAGACCTGGAGGGGAAGGGTGTCTGGACCCGGTTGTCAAAAACATGGCGTTAATGGCGGATTTGGTAGTCAAAACTTTTTTCAATGGTCTTTTCAATGGTCTTTTCGGGCCCAGAAATAAGTTACTCATCGCCATCAGTGACGCACTTAGGAGAACACGCTCGTTTCATAAAGTAAAAACACCGTATATTATTAAAGAATTTTGGTGGGAAATGTTTAGAAATCAATCGTCTCCCATCTTTTTTATTTGCTATAGTTTAAAATTAATGATAAAGTGACTTAGCTATTTGTTCATATTGTTTGTGTTCTCAGTTATTTATTTTTATTTGAAAGTTTGGAAAAATTACTCATTTCTACATATTTTTTATGTTCTCAGATATTACGTCAGTATCCACTATCCTTCGAATTCAACGAGTATTATTTACATTTTCGCCTATCATCATGTCTCCATGCGTTTTCGTACGTTTTACTGGATTCAGAGCACGAACGTGTGCAGATGGGTTGGCTATCAGATGCTGAAAGAAAGATGCAAAGACTTCTAAATCTCACATAAAAAGTCTTTGGGATTACATCGACATGCTACACAAAAAATCATCATTATTTTATAATTTCAAGTTTTCGAAAGAACATTCTGAAAAGGTGAGTTGTTGCTTTGCAGCCATATTTTAGCAAATCTTTGCAGCAACAGTTCGCATGCAATACAATGAAATTACCTGCATGCTTTTCGGTCATGTAGTTGTGTAATCACTGTCAAATTGATTAAAACAAGATCAAAGAAAACAGGCATTTAACTCAGTTTATTTTCAATGGACGCTTTGTATATCTTTTATCTAACACGTTTATTGGTTAAACTTGTAAACTTCATTTAGTAAATCCTAGAATATCCTTGATTTGTTGTGTGGTACTTAAAGTGACATTATTGGACTGTAAAACCCATTGAACTAAATAGAACTGGAATGTTACTTCCCGCCAAAATTTTAAAGCCACCAATTCAACTAGTCCCAATCCTTCCACGCACGGCCTATAAAGTCCATTTACAGTGATAAGCTAGCGGGATTTCACCCACAGACACGCGTGTCTGAGAGTAAAATTTGGTAGTGTCAATGGTTAAACCTGAATATTTTTCTTCTCTAGACAAATACGAAGAGAAATATTATGTCTGTGTATAATTATATTGTGCTATGTTTTTAATGAGATAGAACAAAATTTAAACAAAATTTGTTTGGGTAAATAGGAAAGGTTTGATTATAAATTGGAACGAAAATATATTTTTGTTGCTAGAATTTCGCTCACAAACACAATAATTAAAATTTATTGAGCATCTAAAATACATTTACTAAGTCACAACGACTCGTTTCCTTTATTTTCTGTAGAAGATTTTCTTCTCTTAAACCAGATTTATACATTATCTCTAAATTCCCAGGTGCTTCGTCCTCATTGCAACGTTTCCAATCTAAAATTATGGAGTTATTTTGTTTCGGAGAATGTCTCCACTGGTCCAGAGTTTGATCAAGAAGTTATAAATGAGACAGAAACTGCTGCCGAGGAAGGACAACAGAAGTTAGAAGACAAGTACGATGCCAACAGGTATGAATAAGTTATTGCGTTAAGAAGTAAGCGTTCCATTTAAAACGTAGCAAAGTACCTCTACGATTTGCGTGTTTCCATTAAAATTAGTGAAGTACTACTATACTTAGCGTGTTTCCATTTGAAAATTATTGAGTACTTTAATAGTTAGGATGTTTCCATTTAAACATTATTTAGTACTTCCATTGTTGCATGTTTCTATTAAAAATAAGTTCAATGCCATTCGTACCTTGCATGCTTAATTTTTTGTTGCAAACTTTACTATATGTTTAAAAAAGTGACTTATAATATTCAAACGTGCGTAAATTATTGAATAAAATAGCTAACGCTTCACATTGTTTACTAGACGCTGTCGAAGTGGTATGTTTGGTGGATCGGTTCATTACGACAATAGTAGCTGTGCATATCATTTGTACGAATATAATCGCATCGAAGAAGAGGCTGACAAACACGCAACTCGTTGGAAAAATATATGGCAGCGTTTGGAACAGCCTAAAATAACGAAAACGGTATTTATAGCAAATATACTTTCATTGTGACGTGTTGTTTTACTTTTACTTTGTAGACATTAAGTAAAGGTCATCCACTGGATCTTTGTAAATGGCTTGTGAATATCATATTTTAGGTCTCATTTAGGCAGCATAACTACTTTTGCTTACTGGAGTGTGTGTATGGTGTGAATACCATTACAGATTGTAGTGTATGCATTGTATGTATGAATACCGTAGCAGATTGTGGTGTGTGCATTGTATGTATGAATACCATCACAAACTGGAGTGTATGCATTGTATGAATACCAGACTGAAGTTTGTGCATTGTATAAATACCATTACAGACTGAAGTGTGCATGGTATGAATACCATTACAGACTGAAGTGTGTGCATGGTATGAATACCATTACAGACTGAAGTGTGTGCATGGTATGAATACCATTACAGAGTGAAGTGTGTGCATGGTATGAATAACATTACAGACTGAAGTGTGCATGGTATGAATACCATTACAGACTGGAGTGTATGCATTGTATGAATACCAGACTGAAGTGTGTGCATGGTATAAATACCATTACAGACTGAAGTTTGTGCATTGTATAAATACCATTACAGACTGAAGTGTGTGCATGGTATGAATACCATCACAGACTGAAGTGTGTGCATGGTATGAACACCATTACAGACTGAAGCGTGTGCATGGTATGAATACCATTACATACTGGAGTGTATGCATTGTATGAATACCAGACTGAAGTGTGTGCATGGTATAAATACCATTACAGACTGAAGTGTGTGCATGGTATGAATACCATTACAGACTGGAGTATGTGCATGGTATGAATACCATCACAGACTGTGGTGTTTGCCTGGTACGAATGAACACCATAACTGACTGGCATTTTTTCTTTACAGTTTTTAACATACAATGAAGAACTTTCCAGAGTCCGTAGTGGTGTACTACACAAACGAGATACAATGGACATAATACTTGAGGTAGTATTTATGATTCTTTTTCTTTATGATTAATGTTATATTGATTGTAGATAATTTATAACTTCAATGACCATTTTATGATTACCTGATATTAAATTAATATTCTCGTTCAAGCAATATACTCGTTCTATTTTGTGATTTTTGGTAAAATAATTTCTATATACAAAAGGATTTTTGTATCAGTTTGGTAACTTTTAAAAATGAACTTTTTTAACATTTAGTTTTGCTGTGCTGGTAGCACTAAACCATGAAATTGTATTCATGTTGTCTTGGAATATGTTGTATTCTTTAAGAACTAGAAAACACTTTCTGAGTTTCTAGAGAGTTTTAGAAACACGTGATTGGTAGAAACAATAAATTACATGGTAAAGAGTAACACGAAGTGCGTGTGTTTGCCAAAAATTTCGAGTTTCTTTCACGAGTGTTTCTATATAAATCTATAGGATTAGGCAAATATTTTTTTGTATTTTCCTTATGAAATAACGTTTTAAGAAGAATATAAAGACAATGAATTCTTGAATTTTAATAACATATTTATATTTTTGCCTTAAAACTTTCCGCAATAACCACGCAAGTTTTTCAATAATTTTGAGAAACTGAAGCTCTCGTGCAATAAAGGGTTTTATAGACACGGTATTTTCAAGCATTGCACTAATCAGCACCCGTGTTTTTAAAAGGTTTTTTTTCACACAATATGAGATTGGTATCATGCCGCCATTTTGAAAGATTCTCGAACACAGTTTGTACAAAATTTTAATGTCTCTGAATTCTGATTTTTTGATAAAATCTTGAAAAGTAGTCAGTTAACGCATTAGTTTAATCTTCATTTAATTTCTTTTTACTGAAATGGAGGTAAAATTGACATCTTAATGTTGGAACTTTTGTAAGTGACCTACCTTGTGGCGGCTCACTTCACATGACAACACACCTTTTGTACTGTTTTCAGTAAATAATTTGTTTTGTTAAGTGACCTACCTTGTGGTGGCTCACTTCACATGACAACACACCTTTTGTACTGGTTTCAGTAAATAATTTGTTTTGTTAAGTGACCTATCATGTGGCGGCTCACTTCACATGACAACACACCATTTGTACTGGTTTCAGTAAATAATTTTTTTGTTTAAATTTTCATAATACGTTGATTCCTTTGTTACGTTTGTTAGGCTTTCCATGCCTGTTATGATCTTAGCTTTAAAAAAATATCAACATTGTTGTGTTTTGCGAAGAATAGACAGCAATTGCATAAATTTGTAATTCAAAACTATTTCTACAACTTTTGCTGCGTATTTATACCTTTGAAGTAGAGAGTAACTTTGTTACTTTTATAAGATGACCTTGTAGAAACTGATTTCACTTAGTTTTTTTTAAAGCTACATACTATGTGACACATGTTACTTTAATATTTCAGGGGAAACTTCAAATCGAAGACTACAGTAACCAAGGTTTTTCACGACCTCATTCATTTGAACCTCACAGTTTCTTTACGCCAACCAACTGCGATTTCTGTCTACAAGTGATATGGAATATTGGAAAAGGAGGTATGGTTTGCTTGTGTATCTATCTATCTATGATGGCCATACAGTTGACTTTCCGTTGCATCTATAAACACGCTTCTTTATCTTGTCTACTGTGCAAAGTTTCTATGGAAATTTTGCTAATAAAATTTTACAACTAGCAAAGCTTTATAGCAGAATGCACGCGCGTTCATGTTAGTTAAATATACCCTAGTATAAATTTAATTCTGAAATCAAAGTAAAACAATCGCAGCCAGACAATATTTTTTGCTAGATTTATGATAATTGTTATGTCATACAACTGATAATTTATTTCATGATGATTGTGACGCCGCTTTTGTCCATCATGAATTTCAATGAGTGTGTACCGTTGATAATTTAATAATTTAAGAAATTTATTCAAGCAAGTCTATCCAAAATGAATTAAAATGACTTGGCTCGGTCCTGGCATCTTGATACCCAAAAACTGTTCACCACGCGTTGTAGTTACGATATATTTTGTGGAGAGATTTTGTCTCCTACCACCAAAAATTCTTTTGTATTTTAATATGTGTTTTTTATAGGATTCAGATGCACAGAATGTGGATACAACTGTCACGAGAAATGCTTATCACGTGTTCCTAAAACGTGTCCTAATTACAAGAATCTAAAAGACCAGAATGATAGAATGCCATCAACTAGTAACAAAAGCTTACACGAGGTACAATATAGTACACTAGTGAACTTCCATTGATGTTTGTTAACTGCAAACATTTTTCTTCACTTTTAAATTTATAATTATATAATATGTAAACAAAGAAGATATTGTTAAGTTTCACTTTATATTACTCATTTATACCGGATTAAGCTTTAGTTACACTAGACAAACTGATTTATCATGAATTAGTCATTTGAATAATCTTTATCATTCCATAGTCTCCAAGTATAAACAAATCTTCGAAATTTTTGTGTGGGTATCTATGGAAACGAGGTGCTTTATTCAAACAATGGAAGCAACGGTATTTTGTATTGGATACGGAAAGACATCAGGTATTGTTCTTTATTGGCAATTTTAGCGAACGATATTTTGATGGAATGTGATAATGAAAGATGGAAAACGGTGTAAAATAAAGCTTCAGATTGTCAATGTCTACTGGTTTCTGTTAAAAATTACTATAGAAAGGTTAACTTTGTTGTTTCTTACCATAGCTTTGTGCCTATTTGATTTAGTCCAAATCATACTTTGCGATACCTTATTTTTGTGATTTCACGTTAAATTTTCATTGTTCTATTTGTGACATCACGTTAAAAGCAAGAGTAACAAAAGTGCATTTTAAAATCGTTACATTACTGACAGAGCATGGAATTGTTAAAAGAACTTCTGAGAACGGGAGGTCCATGATTTAAAGCTTCCGACTTTTTTGATGGTGAAAATCGCAAAGTTTAAGCTGTGCAAATTATTCGATGCACTTATTTCTAGTTCATTGCAATTTGCTGTCCTTAGCTTTAACATTTTACGATGTCTATGTTTTCACAAATTAATTGGTTTTGTAGCTTCGTTACTATGATGAAGTAAGCGATGTTCATTGTCAAGGTGTTGTCAACTTATCTGAAATTATTTCATGTGAAATGTCACAGTTGAATTGTAAGTTTTATTTCAATATTTTGCTCTATAGTCTTATTTCTTCCATGGTTTTGATGAGCTTTTAAAACAATGCTCTATTGACTTTGGTTGCATAACTGAGAAAACGACTTTTCTGTTAACTTTGGATTTTTGCGGAGGGTGTTGTGTGTTCCAAATTAAAACTTCTCCTGGGATATTACCTTAAGAGCAAATGTCTTTGTGCACCAGCTTGAATGAATTGCAAATTTTTAAGCTTTTTTGGTATCTGTGGAAAGGATATTTATTTCTGTATATAAAATTAATAATATATTTAAGTATGGAACAAGTTGCAATTACGTATTTAATTGTACGATAAAACTGTAAACATGATTACATGATTGTAAAAGTGCTGTTATTGTATTGTCGTGTTTTTTTTAAAATTGCGAATTTCATTGATATTTTTAGCAAACGAGAAGCAAGTTTTTTTCGACGTAAGTAAATATATTTGTGTATCTTTCATCGCTGTGTTGCTTGTTTGAAGCTTTAAAGTGCTCTAAATCATCACGAATTTTGATTGGTTTAAATTATTGTGTGAAAAACCATTTGGTTAATCGTGCTTGCTATTTTCTGTAAACTATGTAAGGGTGGCTAGTATTAAATAATGGGAATAAGCTCTTTTATGAACTTTTAAATTTTCCCCGAAGCTTAAAGATGATCCTTTCTTTACCACTTTTAGTTGATTTAGATTGACATTGAAAAAGCAATTAAATATTTTACGCTGATAACATTGAACCCTGTTTTTAAAACTTTGAAATAAAACCGATATAAACTATCATGCATGTAAAATACTTTTTCTTCTTAAAGACTATTTTCACTGCCTTATATGCTTCTATAGCTTCGTACAGAGAAACGATTGTATAATTTGTATGCTGCGACGGAGGAAGAAGCCAAGAAATGGATATCTAAATTACAAAGCTTGGATACGTAGAGCTTCCACGATCCAATCAGGAATTTCATTATAATCAAAAGAAATGTTGTGCATATGTGAAATATTTTAACATTTTAGAACGCATATTTAGGGTAATTTATGTATGTATTTTAATTTTTTTAAATAATAGTATCATTTTGAGACACGCACAGGTTTCAAATAAACATGACTGAAATAACCAATACGAATTTTCGTTGTATTTCCACATGTTATAAAAATAGTGTGACACCAGATATAATCAGTGAAGCTATTTATTTTTCATCAATTACGTATTTTAACAATAAGAGTCTCACTACTATCAAACGGTAGGCTAACGAGTTTAACTTATCTGCTCAGTCTGAACCGTACCCCGAGTCTAGTGTACGTGATTCCAACAATGATTCACAATAGGTTTTCCAAACAGATTAAAGGTACAGAAGTCAAAAGGCTTAGTTGATGTCTCCAAGACTTGTAGGGTGTTGTTTTGTCAACGTACACCGCCGTATAAGTTATCTTCAATTTGCTGTGCCTCGTAAATTGTCCTCAATAAGTTGTACCCTGTAAGTTGTTCTCATGCAATATAGTTAAATTACTTACATATATATATATATAATAATGCCACAATAAAAACCAGAATAAAAACTTCTGTGCAGTTCTATAAAATATGCTCACTCATGCAAGAAAGCTTCTAGATTTCCTTCTAATAATGACTATAGATTTCTATTGAATTACCTGGATGAGGAAAATGGCTTGTGTGCAGCTGGTCGAAATATAATGGAGGACGTGAAGACTCTCGTTTTCATTGTGTTAGTAGAACATATTAGCGAATCTTAATAATATGAAAAGTCGCTGGAGGAGGTTGCGTTCTGACCTTTTAGCAAAGTTTTAGGAAAATTGTATCAGCCGGCATTTCAATATTATGCTAAAAATATATCAGCATTTACACTCTTTCTGTGCAATTTATTTATAAATAACATTTAATTATAAGTACTAGATAAATGATCAAAGTATTAAAGCGTGCATATGCACTACGATAAAAACATCGCAAAGTTATAATTCAAATATACACCTAATGTTTTGCTCAATCAATGTTCACTATATTATTTTAAAAATGTTATGATTAACAACAATAAAAATCATATGGTGTAATACCCTTGTTTTACATAACAATATACACCTACGAAGGTTCAAATTCCTTTGCATAAAAACATTTATTATACACGGAATTGAAGGATGCGTATGATGTTTTTATGAGTTGAGTTTAAGAAATTTGAAGTCGCTATCAGTTCAAGGTATGTTAACAAAAAATAAATAAAGTATTAATTACTATACGTCATAGATGATCGGTTATTTTATCTGTACTATTAATGATTTCGTACTTTGAATATATTCAAGGCTTGCTTTAATTCTCAAGCGTTAAAATTTTTACAAAACCAATCGTACTCAATAAACATTTAAAAACTATTTTTCGTGCGTTCCTTTAAAGCAGTGAGTTATGATTAAAGGGAAACATGATTGGACGATTTTAAGTTTTAAATGCAGACAGGGAGTCGGACGATTCGACGATTTAAAAATCAATAAAAATTATTCTTAACATGAATTTATAGTTATAACAAAATAAGGTCAAATTAAGCGTTGTATTTATTTGCCTTCTGATATAAATTTGAATCCACCACTGAATGACTATAGCGTAGACACACTATAGATTAATTTTGACTGAATTTTATGTATTTCAAAAATATAATATTTTGTTTGAGCTTTTACACTGAGCCTTTTCAATGTCTTATTTGCATACGACGACATGTGAATTATATATAATTTAGATAAACTACTTCATGGTAGGTGAGTGCTTACAATTTAAAACTCAACGTAGACAATTCCGTTCTTACGAAGGAACTTAATTGTTTTGTATTTTTCGTTGTTCCTTTTCTTTTGGACCGAAATGTAATGTATTTCCCGAGATATTTACGAAGTTGCTTGACGGAATTGAGATTTATATTTATTTCGGCAATAAAAATTCTTGAAGAAGTCTATACCCGTATACTAAAAGCTCACTCACATTCACATATATTGAGAGCGACATAAAAATCACACTCTATCTAATCATCAGCAAAGTCATTTCTCCATCTATGGCAAGATTTTCTCCTAGATATTTCAAATCAAGCAATCAGTTGAGAGAAATTGAGCTTTGAATATGCATGAAGTGCTTTCAAAGCCCCACTCATTGACTGTGCAATGTTTGGCATATTTTCCGTGCGCATGCGTTGAATTCACCGTTTTTCTGGCTAGTAACTTGACGACTGTGTACTATATTGTAATAAAAAAAAAGATTTTTAAATATTTGTCATCTCATATTGGTAAGATGGCGAAAGGTTGTATGAAAACAGGAAAGATATATAAGATATATTTATAGCGAGAGCTCATAATTTCATTGCTAACAAGTACGTAAATGCTTGTTTTTTGGTAAATTCGAACGTTTTAACGTAGGGTATAGGTTTGTAAATATTGTTATGTTAACGAAAGTCGAAAGTAGAATCTCTTACGTTTTCGTTTCTTCTAAATTATATAAATTCAAATTCATTGAGGTGTAATTATGAGGTATTATTTACTACAAAGACCAACGAGTGCCAGAGTGCGAAACGTACTTGTACAAGCGTCGTAATATTTCATGTTGCAACATGCATGTCAACTTTCCAAACTTACGATAAAGTAACTATTCACTGAATCCAATAATGATTCATGAGGCGTTTTTGTGAAGATACCGTTCATTTTAAGAAAAATACAAGTTTACGCCAATAAGAGTGTATTCATTTTAACGTACCGAGAAAATAACAGAATTAATGTCTCCAGTTCGAGACTGACTTTATTAACGTTATTAGCAATATTTGAAATGTAACAGATGTTCGCCACACATTAATTAAGCAAAAGTTAACATTTAAATACGTAATAACAGAGTTGCGTCGGGATCTTTTGTTATCACAGGAACGTTTACAGACGTACTTCCCTCAATAACAAGGAGAATGATATTTGGTTCTAAATATCCATCATCAATATATTTATTGGAGACGTTTAAACTAAATATTCCTCATGAATTTTAAGTGTGCTTTGTTTCCACATTTTATTTTTGTTTCCTGAAGCAATGGCGTCCCCTTGAATCGTTACTTTTCCGAGGCTGAATCATTTTTCATTCTAGTGAATAGAAAATATTCATAGCAATATGTGTTTACCAAGTTTAAAAGTCCTCTTGTTCCACTGTTACATTGTCAATAGTTGAGACCCAATCACCAAATTCGTTTTTCAAACCAGTTCAAATTTACCACTTCGTTAATAAATTAATCATATCTTTATTTGCAAAGCAAATTCATACACAGGTTCACTGGACCATTCCTTGTTGACCATGAACAATGTCAAGCCCATAAATATTTGTCAACGTTTAAATCAGTAAAGTCGAACTTTGTACATGTAGCTAGAGTGAATATTTATTTAGCAATATAAAAGTTTTACTTTGTGGATAATTTTTGCAACTCAGAAATGCCTTGATAGAACAGCTTCAAAATGTCATTCAATTACGAAAAAACTTTGTATATCATTTACACTTTTATGCATCTCAAATGCAAATGGAAATGTAAAGAAACAGTAAAATACTACAAATATATAAAGCATAAAATGTAAATTAGTAAACATTTTTCTGTCTATAAAGAGTCCTACATTTTTGCAAAATCATTATTACCGATTCGTTGATATAATTATTAACAAATAAAGCCGTGGCTAAAGCTATATGCTTCACAAAACGCGGTGGTTTTCCAAGTAATAAAACTCGGTCTTTTTTTAAAACTAAAATAAAATTTTGACAAAGCAACAATGACGACAAACATCTTCGTGCAAATCCAGTAAACGGTCAAACTTCGAACTCGTACTTGAATTAAGTCGCACTGTATAATAGTACACACTTACTAAAGCTCACTATTGACGCTAGAACATCACTACTTAAAAGTGTATTATTAACACATAGAACATGCTGAGCTAACTGCGTCAAAATAGCAGAGTGGGAATAAACAAAGTTGTACCAGATTATTATTTTCTTTTCCACCAGTACAAGATTAAAAGACCAAAAAGGAATGATGGCGGATAACGTTTACCAACGTAGATTTTCCAATATTTTAGTTTCGCGACTTTTTTAATAATCAAAAATATACGTCATGGTTAGAACAAGTTTGTAAACATCGATCGTCCAGGTTAGTATAGTCCTGAGAAGGACTGTTTTTGTTGTTGTTGACTGACGTTTCGACAACCTTTGCGGTAGTAAACTTCAGAGTCAAATGGATATTTGACTCTTGGATACTTGAAATGGATATTTGACTTCATTTGACTCTGAAGATGACTACCGCTAAGGTTGTCGAAACGTCAGTCAACAACAACAAAAACAGTCCTTCTCAGGACTATACCAACCTGGACGATCGACATTTACAAACATGTAACGATACTCCCGGGTTCAAACCATTTACCTTATTATGGGTAGAACAAGTTATTCAATTCAATTTGAAATCAAAATGTTTCCTATGGCCATGAAATGTTGGCGTTTGTCTCCATTTAAAAACTGTCCGTGCAAGAATCTAATTTGTCGTATCGTCGCATGTGTTATCGGGTTTCTTTTTTGTGATACCTACAGAAACTATATAACGAGTCTTTTATCAGATCAGAGAGTTAACTGTTATTTGGCTTTATAAATGTTTCAGAATTGTCAAGGCAGGCCATAGACGGTAAACATTAAAAATTAAAATAATAATAAATAAAAACGAAGTAAACCTATATTGCCTATTTGTTAATAATGATAAGTACATGAACTTTAATAAATTTTTCTAGCGGTGGAAATGTCAGAAAGATAATGAATTTTAAATACAATTATTTTAAATTCAAAAAAGAATCACAACAGCAAAATGACGCTAAGATATCAAGCAAACATGGCATGGAGTATTACAAAATCGGAAAATACGAAAAAGCTAAGAAATGTTTTAAGAAATGTCTCGAAAGTCAGAAGACCTTACTAGGTGATGAACATGTTGATGTAGCTACGACTTTAAACTATCTTGGTAATGTGTATTATGAGACCAACAAATATGCCAAAGCAAAGAGTTTTATGAAAAAGCGTTGGAAATTCGAAAAAATCACTTGGTCCAGAACATGTTGTGGCTGCGACTTTAAACAATCTTGGCAATGTTCATTATGATGCCAACAATTATGCCAAAGCCAAAGAGTGTTATGAAATAGCGTTGGAAATTCGACAAAAATCACTTGGTCCTGAACATGTTGATGTAGCTACGACTTCAAACTATCTTGGTAATGTGTATTATGAGACCAAGAAATATGCCAAAGCCAAAGAGTGTTATGAAAAAGCGTTGGAAATTCGAGAAAAATCACTTGGTCCAGAACACGTTGATGTAGCTGTGACTTTAAAAAATCTTGGCATTGTTTATTATGATATCAACAAATATGCCAAAGCCAAAGAGTGTTATGAAAAAGCGTTGGAAATTCGACAAAAATCTCTTGGTCCTGAACATGTTGATGTAGCTACGATTTTAAACAATCTTGGTAATGTGTATTATGAGACCAACAATTATGCCAAAGCCAAAGAGTGTAATGAAAAAGCGTTGGAAATTCAAAAAAAATCACTTGGTCCTAAACATGTTGATGTGGCTAAGACTTTTAACGATCTTGGTAATATGTATCTTTGTACTAAAGAATATGACAAAGCAAAAGAATTATTTGATAAAGCGCTAGAAATTCAACAGAAATCATTCGGTCTTGAATATGTTGATGTAGCTACGACTTTAAACAATCTTGGCAATGTGTACCATCGTACTAAAGAATATGACTTAGCAGAAGAATTATTTAAAGAAGCGTTGAAAATTCAACAAAAATTACTAGGTTCTGAACATGTTGACGTAGCTAAGACTTTAAACGATCTTGGTAATGTGTATAATGAGACCAACAAATTTACCAAAGCCAAAGAGTGTTACAAAAAAGAGTTGCAAATTCGAAAAAAGTCACTAGGTCTTCATCATGTTGATGTGGCTACGACTTTAGACAATATTCGTATGGTACTCAAAAAGCCTGAAGACTATACCAAATCAAAAGAAGTTTATGAAAAAGCCCTGGAAATTCGAAAAAATTTTCTAAGTCCAGAATATGTTGATATGGCTAAGACTTCACACGATCTTGGTAATGTGTATCTTTGTACTAAAGAATATGACAAAGCAAAAGAATCATTTGAAATAGCGCTGGAAATTCGACAAAAATCACTTGGTCTTGAACATGTTGATGTGGCTGCGACTTTAAATAATCTTGGCAATGTATACCATCGTAGTAAAGAATATGACAAAGCAAAAAAATTATTGAAAAAAGCGTTGGAAATTCAACAAAAATCACTAGGTCCTGACGATATTGATAAAGCAAAAACTTTAAACAATCTTGGTAATGTGTACCATTGTACTAAAGAATATGACAAAGCAAAAGAATTTCATGAAAAGGCGTTGGAAATTCAACAAAAATCACTAGGTCCTGAACATGTTGATGTAGCTACGACTTTAAACAATTTCGGTAATGTGTACCATCGTACTAAAGAATATACCAAAGCCAAAGAGTGTTATGAAAAAGCGTTAGAAATTCGAAAAAAATCACTTGGTCCTAAACATATTGATGTAGCTACGACTTTAAACAATCTTGGCAATGTTTACTATCGTACTAAAGATTATGACAAAGCAAGAAAGTTATTTAACAAAGCGTTGGAAATTCAACAAAAATCACTAGTTCCTGAAAATGTTGATATAGCTACGACTTTAAACATTCTTGGTAATGTGTATTATGATACCAAAAAATATGCCAAAGCCAAAGAGTGTTATGAAAAGCGTTGGAAATTCGAAAAAATCACTTGGTCCTAAACATGTTGATGTAGCTACGACTTTAAACAATCTTGGTAATGTGTATTATGAGACCAATCAATATGCCAAAGCCAAAGAGTGTTATGAAAAAGCGTTGGAAATTCGAAAAAATCACTTTCCTAAACATGTTGATGTGGCTACGACTTTAAACAATCTTGGTAATGTGTATTATGAGACCAAGCAATATGCCGAAGTCAAAGAGTGCTATGAAAAGCGTTGGAAATTCGAAAAAAATCACTAGGTCCTGAACATGTTGATGTAGCTACGACTTTAAACAATCTTGGTAATGTGTATTATGAGACGAACAAATATGCCGAAGCCAAAGAGTGTTATGAAAAAGCGTTGGAAATTCGAAAGAAATCACTTGGTCCAGAACATGTTGATGTGGCTACGACTTTAAACAATCTTGGCAATGTGTACCATCGTACTAAAGAGTATGACAATTTTGGCAATGCGATTCGTCCCACTAAACTATGTGACAATGCAAAAGAATTTAACGAAAAGTGTTGGAAATTCGACAAAATCTGTTGCTTCGGATCATGGTGTTTTTACTGAATCTTCGAACAGTATTGGTATGTTATTCTTTATTTTTGTATATTTTAGCATATATAAGCGTTTCTAAGTGTAACCTTTGAGGTTTTTGAAATTTTTAGACAAAATTTTTTAAGTCTTGTGTGTTTACAAATCATAAGTTCTTCTCGCTGTAAATTTTGGGGGGTAAAAACTCCCCTAAAAGTTAGGGGTGAAATGAGTGCCACAGAATGCCCCGGTTTTGATGGGTAACATTTTATGGGGGTAATATTTATTTAAAGGTGAAATTTATGGTGGTAATATATAGTTAGGTGTAAATTCTATTAAGGGGTGAAATTTGTCAAGGGGTAAAATTTATGGGGGTAAATTTTAAATGGGTGATTATGATGGACATGCAATTCCCCCATAAATTGGGCGAAAAAAGAAATTACATAGAATGCTGCATTTTTTAGGGCACATGTGCAAATACAGGAGGTAATGCTTCAATGGGGTTAAAACGAACTCTAAAACTATAATAAGAATAAATTAAAATAGATAAAAAAAACAATCTCTTTATTTCAACAGAAAAGGAATGAGCGTAGCTATCTCGAGAATGGAGTGAAGGGTGGCAAATATTAAAAATGCGCGTTATTATCAATAAAAAAGATTAGATTCAAGAAAAGTAACGAGGTTCAACATGCAAACATAACTACTCAACCATTGACAGAGTATTGGCAAACATAAACACCATACCATTGGCAGAACATTGATAATTGGGGGGGGGATTCATATATTTATATGTTATAATTCCTAAAACTAATTATTTCAATGTAAAGTAGAACGGGCACAAATTAATAATAGCGCCCCCCAATTTTCAATAATCCGCCGCCCTTGAGTATTCCCCTCAATAATTAAGCTGGCTACGCCGACATAAAACATGAGTACACCGTAACAGAAAAAATTTTCTAAATGTACAGTGTAATGGTTTAAATGTGCACTTAATGCTTAGTTTAAACTGGCAAGAGCTTTAATAAATTTTGCAAGCTAATTCTATTGATAGCAGTGTGCTGCAACCCAACAAAAACGGAATCAATAAAAAGAAATACATCCTTATGATCTTGTGGATAAGCTATAGAAAATACATAGTATGTTGCATAGAGCGTAAAAAGCACTGTGTGTAAAGGAAATGAAGTTACGTCAACGAGTTGTCGTCCTTCGACGCACAATAGTAGCCTGTCAGGCCTCAGTATGTTTTCACTAATAACCAAAACTCGTGGATATGTGGTGCGGGTTATTTTGTTCGGCAAATCATCATCTTCCTAAAACATACAAAAAAAAGAAAATGCTTCAGTGTTTGAAAGTTGCCTCGATGAATGCACTGTATGGAAAACGTAAATATTACCCTTTAGTCAATTACCCATCTGAAGGTAGTAAATATTACCCTGAAAAAAGATAACTTTTACCCCCTAAAATTTACAGTGTTTGCATTATGTTTGGCTAGATCTAAACAGAAAAGACAATTTTAGGAATATTTATAAAATTATTTAAAGCTGTACCTTGTGAATTTGGGATTCATTTAAAGTATTAATCTTATTTTAGACCGTTTAACCATCCTCAGCATTTATCTATTCTAGTTATAGTCCATTTGTAGAGCTATCTTAAAATAGATAAAAACGATTTTTTTCTTAAAGTTTGATGCAAATCGAGAACAATGTAATGCACTTCAATATATATTTGGGAGCAAAAATATTTTAAATCTCTTTTAACATATAAATAAAACTAAACTAAAACTATACTAGTAAGAAGCAACGACATATGCAACTAAATTTTGTTTTTGGTAAATTTTTCATTGTTTTCTTTCCATCTTATGCTTTATTATGTGGTTTGCAATTTAGGGCTAGAAACTACTTAGAGCCTTTTCATTCTAATTCTTTCTAAGCTGATATGCCTAATTACAATTTTTTTGACTTTGCACTGGTTCATATATTTTTCTTTTTTGAAGTATCTGCTTTTTACTTACTTAATACAAACGTATGCTTTAAAAAAATCTCAAGTTATCTATTTAAATTGTTTTTGCTTTTTATAATAGCTACAAGGCTTGAGAAAGTTATTTTTAGTACAAATATATTTTGTTTGTTTTATATATGACAAGTTAAAAAATTTTCTACCAATTGCTTTTGACTTTTTCTTGTAAAAAGTAGAGAAAGTAAAAAACTTAAGTAAAAATCAGGACATAAATAAAGTTTTACAATTTTTAAGTTTTTTTATTTTTAATATTTTAGAAAAATACTAGATTTACAATACATGATATTAAAAAATTTCTTTATTACTACAAAAACCTAGATTGATATACATCTTTGTTCTTGGAAAGAACGTGTAGCTAAATTCTAATAATTTACTTGGAGAATTAACTCTTGGTTTTTTCTATTTTATTTAATCCAGTAAACTTTATAAACTCCTCTTAACTCGGTCTTTCCCTAGAAACATATTCATTATAAAAAGCACTCTTCTATTTTACACTATGGTTCACTTGCTCTATTTTTATATCTTTTTCAAAGAAATAAGGCCTGATGATACTGCTGATGCTAAATCCCCTTCAAATTTACACGTTCATACGGAGAAAATAGAAGGTATGCTTATTATATTAGAAGGTAAATATACAAAATTTAGAGCTTTATTAGATGAACTCTTTAATAGTCAAAAAGAGGGGAAATCGTGAAACTACTTTGAATCTAGATCAAGTTGTTTCCATAGATTCCTTAAATATTCTTTAACTTTTGCTTATAAATATTGTTCAATGTTATAACACTAAGCGGTGAGAGCATTCTGCAATCACAGATAACGTGAAACGTTGCAAACTTTTGTGTTATTTTTAGGTAAACACATGCTACTTTTGTGACATTAAGATACTTTAAAAAACCAGCATTGATTATAATAAATTTTATATGCAAAACCTCAAACGTAAAACTTATCCAGGTATCTCACTTTTCCCTATTCCTTCCCAAAAAGAGATACAGTTTTATAGGGAAAAATATGGAAGAAAAAACGAAAAGTAATTAAATTTTCTGCTTTATTGACTATTTTAATATTACAACTATTTTACATCAAATTTGAAATTAATCATTTTGACTACATAAATAACCTATCCCACAAAAAAAACTATTCGCTGAAACCAAGTAGTTTCTCGCATATAGTGAGATTCAAATCTTAGAACAAATTTGCGTTACATTCTTTATGCTGCAATTTTTTTACTAACACACAATATCAAACGTATAACAAATTTAAAAACAATATAAAAACTTAGAACACAAAAAGCATGAGAGCAAAATACTTCTGTGCATAATTTTTATCTTCAGACAATAAGCACTGTCATGACAACATTTACGCTTGAAACAATTTAGTTTAACAAACTTTTTCATATCTTCACTAGGTTTCGCTATTTGCCATTTTTTACGTGCGAAATATGTGAAGCTCCTTGCATGCAGTTTATTTAAAAACTGAACAAATTTTCTTAAGGCGAAATTTGATTGTACATCTTTCGTGGCATGAGTGAGGAACAAACGAGTAGAATGAAAAGAACGTCTACTTTTTCCTTCTCTACACAGGCTCACACCCTTCCAATTACGCATCCAACTTAACCGCCTCTGCAACGCTGCTTTCCCTCGCGTTAACATTAGATTTGTTTTCCCTCCTTCTACACACATTTCCTCTTTCTTTCCTTCCAAGTGTAAGATTTCCAAGTTCCTGAAATCTGTTTTTTTTTGTCTCTTTAAGTGTCGACGCTGCAACGCGTCGTATGTTGGTCAAACCACACGCTATCTTCAAACCAGAATCTCAGAGCACCTGGGAATTTCGCACCTGACAGTAAAACAGTCATTATGCCCAACCAAATCCATCATCCTGTCTCACATCAACATATCAGGTCACACAGCTTCCTTTGATGACTTCACTATCATCTCATCCTCACCTTAAACTCCTGACTTAATAATCCATGAAAGTCTCCTGATCTCATATCTAACACCTACACTGAATGTTTAAGGCAGTTCCATCCCACTCGAGCTTTTCTAAATACCTCACTAAGTTTTGCATCCATTTCACACTCCATATCAGTATCTTCACTCATACTTTATATAATATTTTTATATACATATATTATGTTCATCACACCTCACTGTATTTCTACACTCATAAGTACATCCTTATATGTAAACATAAACGCACACTTGATCATTTACTTACTTGTCTGATGATGTTTTGTATAAAGACGATACGTTACAAACAATAAACAATTTCTTAAAAAAAATGGCTTCATTTCGAATTTTGAGTTGGGCAATCATCAGTGTTGGCTGAAAATTTATAGCTACGTACCGTATGCAGTTTAAATGATGCAAAAAACTACCAGTCAATTTTACTGTAGCAAAACGCACTTTGATAAAACTTCCAATGTGATCACATAAATTTAGTGTTAGCATTTGGACACATTACTGCTGAAACACTATTATATTGTTAACCATAGTTGTACTAAAATCAACATGACACATCTTTGAGGTAATTTAACAAGTGTCGTGCTATGTATATCTATATAGTTGATGTAGGATGTCCAACATTTTCTTCCAAAGTAAAAAGTGCTATTAACTTCTTTCTAAATGTGGGTTTTTTTGCAGAAATTAAGCAAATTCTGCTAGAGTTTGCCAAAGAAATTCCTGATAAATGGAAGGATTTGGCAAGATTTCTGAATGTCAGCGATGCGAAAATAAAAGAAATTGAACTAGATCATCGTAAATTGGACTGGCAAGGGTTTGAAATGCTAAAGTTTTGGTGGGATAATCGAGAAAAGAATCAGTTGTGGTACGAAGAACTTGCTGTTGCTTTTAGCAAGATCGAGAAAAAAGGTTTGGCTAAAGACCTTGTTAATAAAGGTGCAAATTTTGCTAAATACTGTTAAACTGAAATTAAAAGGTCATTTGTTCATTTTTTATAATCGCTATTTTCATGTAAAACTCAGAAGCCAACATTGGATTGGTTTTATTGATTTACATTTTAATAATAAACATGAAAAAATTTCTCAGTTCACATTGGTTAATTAAGAGCAGTGCAATTTATTGTAAATACCAGTGGAAAGAAATAAGAAACACGGTGCAGAAAAAAGGAAATACAGTGCAATTTTTTTAAAAAAATTTGCTCCTGATTAGTTAATCAAGCAAAGAAGTGATCTAAGAGCCAAGCAAAATAAAACATTTCAAAGGCGTGAAAGTTAAATTAATGTAAGGAAAGTAATAGCAATGTCTGGTGCAAGTTTACGTAAATTTTCCTTAGTGAACGAGCTTACACTTCACCGTTTGCAAGACGTGCTTGGAAAAAAATACGAACACTGCCAAAGTAGTTACCTTGTTCTAGCTGCGTGTGTGAAAGCTTTAGTGTTATAAAAAGTAATATCCAATGGAATTGTAATATACGAGCCAGCTAGAATTAAGAAATGTTTTCATGTATATTAAATCCTTCATAACTGAGCTCGAGGTCTTTTGGAGAAATATCGGACCGTGGTCTTTTTGCACCAACCGACCCCGTAGTAAAGTAAAGATCGTGAAAGCGAGGTTATTAAAATGTTTATTATATACGGCATTATTTGACCTGAAACAAAGCTTGCTTTCTTTCTGGTCCTTGCTGTTTTGTAAGATTTGGCTTTCACTTTTCTAGTTTTTGTTAGTAAAAATATATCATTTCTAATTTTGTATCGTCTGCATAATTAAAATCTTTTTATGAGTTTTTCCTTTTACTCATATTCATAAATCTTTTTTTTCGTTTTGCTTTTTTTTTTCAAGAAGTTTGTTTACATTTTACATTTGACTATAAAATTACGCATTTTGGACTGTGGTCCATTCATTGAATTAAATAACCCTCGAACGCTAACTGCCATACTTTATTCATGATTGGTTAAAGCCAGCTTGAGCACAGTAACATTTACACTCCCCCCTGATAACGTGCTTTATCGACGGCAATAAGTATTCCACGTACAAGGAGTTATTTGGCTCTTTTTTTTTGTGTTTTTAGTATTATTTATTTATTTCTATGAGCTGTTAAATATTAAAAGGATATAGGAAAAGAAACAAAAGAAGAATCGCAAGGAAATGACAATTAACGATCGATGCTATTTCAAGCGATATAATTCAAACTAACACAAAACCATAAAGACGTCTTCGGAAACACTTTACACACTGTACAGTTCACGGTCGATAAGTAATGTTTATCAATAGTTCATAAAATTTCGTTGGTTTGTAAACAAAATCAATTTAGTTAACTGGAATCTGTAACTTCGTTGTCCATTTTGAATATAACGGTTTCATTAAAACGTTTGCTGTACTTGAAAAGCCTAAGGGTGAAGTATTTGTCGGCAGTGTACGTAATCAATTTCATCTTGTGGTCTTCATCAGGGTCATTGGTCAACTCAGGAGTATGATCATCAAAGATGTTTAAATGACTTGATTTAGCGCTAATGATGACAGACTTCCATGATTATTATACTGCGCAGGTTTTTGCTTGAGTTTATGTCATGTCGTTTCTTGATTTTAGGTTCTCTTCTCATCACCCCATGTGTCCTCAGATTTTCTTTTCAGAAGTTGCTTGTATCTCTTTGCCTGAGGAGATTTGGAATTAAGAATGTCAAATACCCTGTCGATGATTCTTGTAAATTTCACTGTAGTCTCACTATTTTTGGCTTTCTAAAGTTTCACTGAAACATTCAAGAATTTAATTGTATTTGCCATAGATGAGCTAAGAATTTGGGCTCTGTCGTGCTCTACTGATTTCTTTTAAAATTCAATTCACTTTCATAAGAAATTAGTAGGGCACAACAGAATATATGGGTATGCACCTCCCCAATTGAATTTCTAGTTTAGACTCTGGGCTCAGGTATATGTCCTATTGCGTGTCGCAAGATCAATAAAAGATCAGCAAACAGGAGTGCCACAGGCAGCCTTGAAACCTTATTTAAGTGCAATCGATTTGCGTAAATATTAATTACTTTCTTTGATTCATGTGCAATGCTTGTCACGCGCGCAATTTAGTTTAACACCATGCACGTATGTTTGTTTACGCATGTATTCAGACTGCATGGCTAGTACAGTTTTTGAATTAAATGCTGCCAATCTGCGATGCCTTTGAACATTCAAAAATATGAAGGATGACAAGGTAAGTGGCCTTAAATTATATACGTTTTGAAAAATTTTTGCTACAAGCCCTAAAAACATTGATGTTTTTTATACAATATAAACAAATTTTAATGTTGAAAATACTGCAAAAATATAGTAAAAACAAACGATAATTTTGTGTTGAAAGTTTCCTACCTTGTCAAAGTATAAGACTGCTAAGACCATAAAAAATTGAAGTTAAACAAACATATTGCACAAGAATAAGAATTGGTGTTCAATACATAAATCGATTGTATAAAAAACTCAAATGGATTTCTAGGACGCCTATTGGGATGCCGTAAAAGGTTGTTGACTTAATGGAAACACTTAAAGTTGCCTGGATAATTAACGGCTTAAAAACAATGTTAGCCATTTTTGTTATGTTGAAGCAGGTCATTGAAAGAATCTAAAAAAAAATTAAAGACAGCGAAACAGGAGGAAGGCGGGTTGTCTCAAAAGTCAAATTTAGCATACGTCAACATCAACGAATGAAGTGAATCCAAACTCATCCAATAATAGATACTGACATGATTATTTTTCTATGTTAAATTAAAAGTGTAATTAAAAATAACTTGCTCCCAAAAACGGCAAAGCTAAAAAGCATTTGAAACATATAGGGGGTAAAATATCGTGCATGTTGTTTAAGCCTTTGTCAATCTTTTTGTTAGTCTGAACACATACGCTCAGCTTTTAAATCGTGGGTTGTTCAAGTGTTTTTTTTCATATGTCTTTTTTATAATCTTCACCTATTAAAGATTGATTTGAGTTTATATTAATCTTAACACCTATTATTAACGATAGTTCTTTGTGAATAAGCGCAGTGTTTGTCACTAATTATAGAATTCTATCAAATGGATTTCCTCTTAATGAATTTGTTGAATTTAAAGGAGGGAATTTAAACTATAAGTTCTGTAGATGGCTGTATATATTACATTGTGTAAACTTGATATTTGATTTAAATAAACTATTTTGTGGTAGGTAAGTGCGTTTATAACTCAACGTAAATGATTTCTTCCTTACGAAGGAACTCATTGTTTTTTATATTCCGTTTTTTCTTTTCTTTCGGACAGAAGTGTAACATATTTCTTGTAATAAATAAGAAATGTCGTCGATGCTTTGGGATTAATACTATTATTCGGCAATAAAATTCTTGAAGAAGTCATATGTCCGTATTCTAAAAGCTCACTTACACTCACACTGATTAAGTGCAAAAAAATGTTATTTTAGAATGTCAGTCACCTCATACGCAGAAGTTTTGGAAGATGCTGAATGTTGTGAGTAAACAAGAAAGATATATAAGATATATATATAGTGAAAGCTCATAATAATTCAATTCCTAACAAGTTGTTAGTAATGGAATTATGAGCTTAACAAGTACTTGGATGTTTACAGCAATAAAAATGTATACCGCCCTCAAAGCTCTTATTCTAAAAGGCTTTGCAACGGACGATGCAAAAACCATATGAAAAACCTTGTTAATCAACAACATCTTGTCCATTAATATCTTCGTAAGCAACGCCGCCATATTTAACTGTGTTTTGTAAAGTTAGCGATGCTAAGTAGCTAACTCTAACTACCTTTTAACTACAGCTAGCAATAATTACTTTTTTATACAACTGACATTACTCAGGCTAACTGCATGAACGTGCTGTAATCATTTTAACCCTTCAATATATAAAGGTTTCTCTTACGATAATTGTATTACGAAATTTTCGAAGCAATAGCAGGTGACGGCTTAACACAAAGGGACTGTTTAATACAGAACCTGTATCATTTTGTCAACTGTACATATAACATGTTGTAATAGCAAAATATTCAAAACCGCTGAATATTTGTTTATATTACCAGTATAAATAAATTATGTTTTAGATAGGTATAAATTGGGTAGATTTAGAGCAATAAAGAGCATTTTGAAGTTCACTTCTCATGGTATCAAGTTATAAGGTATGAAACACACCATTTAAACTGAAATAAGGGTAGGGCTATCCACATGAACGCACTCGTACCTATGTTTTCTTAAAAGTGCTTACGCAATTATGTCTTTCAAAAAACTACGGCGCGAAATGAATCACTCAGAAAATATCAAAAAATACCTCATTGACATTATCCAAAATGCAGACTGCAAAAAAGGCTTGATTTTTTTATCCAGATAAGGTTTGAAAATATTTATTTAAAGAGTAGGTTCACAATCAAAACTTAGACTATGGCATTGAAGAAAAAAAAACTTACCCCTGATGCAACTATGAAGTCTTATTACATAAAAATTTTAGTTTGACAACAATGTTGTCAATACACAAAAACTTTACTCGTATTTATAGATATGGGTAAATATCGTGCTGATTCACGTTGACTACCACAATTTGTGTTTTAACAGATAGGCAAACTTTTATTTCAAAATATGTTGTCTTAAACAGTTCTAAACTATACAACAAGGTTCTAAAGTGTTTTTACCAAAAAATACATAAGTTTAAGATGATTTAATCTACCTCTTTCGAGTGATAATGACATATCCGTCTCCTTTGTCATTAAAGGCTGACTTGTTCACTTGATTTTTTCCTGCATTATAAGATCCACCTCCACCACCACAAGATCCGGACACATTTTCTCCCGATGCTCCACCTGAGTAACCACCTCCACCACCTGGTCCTCCACCAGAACCATATGCCCCACCACCACCTCCAAATCCACCAACGGCATTGTTAAGCTTGGCACGTCCTCCTGCTCCTCCATTTATAAAAGCAAAACCTCCTTCTCCTCCATTTCCATACTTTCCACCAAACTGTTTACTACTTCTTCCATTGCTGTAAAATCCACCTCCACCACCACCTAGTAAACATCATAAAAATTATATATAAATTTTATATTGTTTTACTTCTGATTTGAT